TTAATAGCAATGCTAACGAATGGGGAGGATTCGAACAGACATACACAGTACAGCATAAATTAAACATAGCCGGAGACGCCACACTATACCTGCGCGCAGTACACAACAGAAAATAGGCACAACCATTCTATCTTAGGCAGTCCCAAGTGGCTAGGTTTGCCACAACCTTGTTGCTGGGAACCAAGGAAAAACACATGGAGAGGTGGCGGCCATGGCTGGCATACGTGGCGGAGTGTAGTGCGGGAGCAGGGGGGAGGCGCAGTCATAAGAAAAGGAGTTGGATCGCTCCTATCCCTTCTGTGTCGCCATCCTGTAAGATATATCCTTGATACCTTAACTACCACATGGATCACCCCCAACAACCAGGGTAACCACAAACTCTAGGTAGATGGGCTTGCTCCTAAACCTTACCACCCTCCCCCCCTTTTTATCTTCTTCTCTCTCTTCCTCCACAAAGCCACAATAATGTAATAAACACTGACACTAAAAAAGGCTTATCTATGAATTGCACTCACAAACTCAGATGGTATATACGCTAAACGAAATGTTTTGATGGTGAAACCTCTGTATCTTCTCTTTGACTTTATATCCAAGTAAACATATAAGGGGAAAAGGGAGAGACAGAAAACATGGTGCACTATTGTATTTATATTCAATGGCACTTTGTTTAATTGCACCCACAAGATAAAAAAGTAAGCCCATTGTGACGAGACCAATCTCGCCACATTGCATTGGAGGAGCCTGGTTGCCCACCTGCTGCCTTTGGATTATGGACCGGCAGCTAAAGGGTTAATTTTACTGTGCAGAAGGATTTATTTCTCCCTTTCTGCACAGCCGTTCGGTAGATTCTATCTACCGAACAAACAGTTTCTTTTCAGCCTCCCCAGAGCCATGGGAATCCGGCCGGCGACCTTAATTGGCCACCCAGAAGCTGGAGTGCGCCCTCCATTTACCTCCCTGAAGCCGCGGTTAACCGCGGCTTAACGAGCGTGTGCCGGCAATTGACCACCCAGTAGCTGCGGTTAGCAGCTTAGTTGATTGTTACTGGGTGGTCGCAGTTACACTTAGCCACCACACGATGGCGGTGTTCTGGAGCTCCCCGGGCAGCCAGCGCTTTTCTGCCCGGCTTTCCAGCACCAAACCCGGACACTTTTACGTGCAGGCACTGCTGAACCTCCAACCCCTGGTTCTAATTCGTACGGATTTAACGAATGCATGTAAATTCGGTATTTTATGTTGGAGGAATGTTTTTAACCCAGATAGCCATGCCATGGAGCCTGTTCGTGGAATTAAAGACTTTGGCTCCATGGCAATTAAACTGTATTCGTGTGGTCTGAGTGCATTCACCTAATAATGTGCACTCAGACCTGAGCTATCTGGGGATATGTTACATGTATATATTTACTGTACCATTTGTCCCATTATGTACTTTAAAGTGATAGTCTGTCTTTGTGTCCCCACGTGTGTAATGGAGTTTTGCCTTTGTCCTGGGAGATAATTGAATTACTTCTCCAGGGCAGAGGGGAGGAAGCCAGGATGCATTGTGGGGATGTTTTACTTCTGTATGTCTGTAATTGGTACATGTCTGTCTTTTGTTACAGTTTTCCATCTGGTCCCCTAGGGGAGTGTCCACCAGGTGGGAGACCTGCATAAATACTGGGCAGGTAGCCCTCATTAAACAGACCACTGCTTGACCCTCAACACGGAGCCTTGTTTCGTCTTTGGGGGGATTTACTGTATGCTGATAGAGACTGATTGCCAGGAGTGTAAGCCGCTTGGGTGCTTTTCCTGTTCGTCTGCTAGCAGCTATTCGTGAGGTTCAGTTCGAGTGTTTTTCGAGTGCCAGAACACGCACAGAACTGACGTCAGGCACCAATTGCCGAGCGTCTCTGCCAGAACACGCACTGAATTGACGTTACCCACCAACCGCTGAGCGTCTCTGCCAGAAAACGCACTGAATTGACGTTACCCACCAATCGCCGAGCGTCTCTGCCAGAACACGCACTGAATTGACGTCAGCCACCAATCAACGAGCGTCTCTGCCAGAACACGCACTGAACTGAGGTCAGCCACCGATCGCCGAGCGTCTCTGCCAGAACACGCACTGAACTGAGGTCAGCCACCGATCGCCAAGCGTCTCTGCCAGAACACGCACTGAATTGACGTCAGCCACCAATCGCCGATCGTCTCTGCCAGAACACGCACTGAACTGACGTCAGTCACCAATCGTTGAGCGTCTCTGCCAGAACACGCACTGAACTGATGTTAGCCACCAATCGCCGATCGTCTCTGCCAGAACACGCACTGAATTGACGTTAGCCACCAATCGCCGAGCGTCTCTGCCAGAACACGCACTGAACTGACGTTAGCCACCAATCGCCGAGCGTCTCTGCCAGAACACGCACTGAATTGACGTCAGCCACCAATCGCCGAGCGTCTCTGCCAGAACACGCACTGGTGGCGTCAGTCTGTCGCGTCTCTCTGCCAGAACACGCACTGAACTGACGTCAGCCACCAATCGCCGAGCGTCTCTGCCAGAACAGGCACTGAATTGACGTCAGTCACCAATCGCCGAGCGTCTCTGCCAGAACACGCACTGAACTGACGTTAGCCACCAATCGCCGAGCGTCTCTGCCAGAACACGCACTGAATTGACGTCAGCCACCAATCGCCGAGCGTCTCTGCCAGAACACGCACTGAATTGACGTCAGTCACCAATCGCCGAGCGTCTCTGCCAGAACACGCACTGAACTGACGTCAGCCACCAATCGCCGAGCGTCTCTGCCAGAACAGGCACTGAATTGACGTCAGTCACCAATCGCCGAGCGTCTCTGCCAGAACACGCACTGAACTGACGTTAGCCACCAATCGCCGAGCGTCTCTCCCAGAACACGCACTGAATTGACGTCAGCCACCAATCGCCGAGCGTCTCTGCCAGAACACGCACAGAACTGACGTTAGCCACCAATCGCCCAATCGCCGAGCGTCTCTGCCAGAACACGCACTGAATTGACGTCAGTCACCAATCGCCGAGCATCTCTGCCAGAACACGCACTGAATTGACGTCAGTCACCAATCGCCGAGCGTCTCTGCCAGAACACGCACTGAATTGACGTCAGTCACCAATCGCCGAGCGTCTCTGCCAGAACACGCACTGAATTGACGTCAGTCACCAATCGCCGAGCGTCTCTGCCAGAACACGCACTGAACTGATGTCAGCCACCAATCGCCGAGCGTCTCTGCCAGAACACGCACTGAACTGATGTCAGCCACCGATCGCCGAGCGTCTCTGCCAGAACACGCACTGAACTGATGTCAGCCACCGATCGCCGAGCGTCTCTGCCAGAACACGCACTGAATTGACGTCAGCCACCGATCGCTGAGCGTCTCTGCCAGAACACGCACTGAACTGATGTCAGCCACCAATCGCCGAGCGTCTCTGCCAGAACACGCACTGAACTGACGTCAGCCACCGATCGCCGAGCGTCTCTGCCAGAACACGCACTGAATTGACGTCAGCCACCGATCGCTGAGCGTCTCTGCCAGAACACGCAGTGAATTGACGTCAGCCACCAATCGCCGAGCGTCTCTGCCAGAACACGCACTGAACTGATGTCAGCCACCAATCGCCGAGCGTCTCTGCCAGAACACGCGCACTGAACTTGTCAACCACCAATGCCCGAGAGTCTCTGCCAGAACATCAGTGAATTGGCGTCGCCACCAATCAGCGTCTCTGCCAGAACCGCACCTGATGTCAATACCAATCGCCCGGCGTCTCTGCGCACTGAACACTGAATTGGCGTCAGCCACCAATCGCCCGGCGTCTCTGCCAGAACAGCACTGAACTGGCGTCAGCCACCAATCGCCGAGCGTCTCTGCCAGAACACGCACTGAACTGACGTCAGCCACCAATCGCCGAGCGTCTCTGCCAGAACACGCACTGAACTGACGTCAGCCACCAATCGCCGAGCGTCTCTGCCAGAACATGCAGTGAATTGACGTCAGCCACCAATCGCCGAGCGTCTCTGCCAGAACACGCACTGAATTGACGTCAGTCACCAATCGCCGAGCGTCTCTGCCAGAACACGCACTGAATTGACGTCAGTCACCAATCGCCGAGCGTCTCTGCCAGAACATGCAGTGAATTGACGTCAGCCACCAATCGCCGAGCGTCTCTGCCAGAACACGCACTGAATTGACGTCAGCCACCAATCGCCGAGCGTCTCTGCCAGAACACGCACTGAACTGACGTCAGCCACCAATCGCCGAGAGTCTCTGCCAGAACATGCAGTGAATTGACGTCGAGCAGTCACCAATCGCCGAGCGTCTCTGCCAGAACACGCACTGAATTGACGTCAGTCACCAATCGCCGAGCGTCTCTGCCAGAACATGCAGTGAATTGACGTCAGCCACCAATCGCCGAGCGTCTCTGCCAGAACATGCAGTGAATTGACGTCAGCCACCAATCGCCGAGCGTCTCTGCCAGAACACGCACTGAACTGACGTCAGCCACCAATCGCCGAGAGTCTCTGCCAGAACATGCAGTGAATTGACGTCAGCCACCAATCGCCGAGCGTCTCTGCCAGAACACGCACTGAACTAACGTTATCGAGCCGGGAATTGTCGTTCTGGTCCAGCTAATGGCGGTGTTGGAGCTTCAAACTGAAATAGCTCTGTATGGATCGTCTGCAGGCTGCTAGCACCATAACCACTTTAGGAGACTGTGGTGGTGGTGCTCGGAGACGCTCTGTACAGGAGATTATTATTATTATTATTTATAAGCGCTGTATAATGAAACATATGGGAATTTATTTAATATATTTATTTTAGAACAGCCCTTGGCTTTTGGAATCAATAGGGCGCCGCCATCTTGCCACAGGGCCCTCCTTGTTGCCATAGTAACCTGACTCTCACCCTGTTGCCAGGCGCCCCCCTCCTTTTCCCTGCCGTTCCTCTGCCGCCATCTGACTCCGCCCCGCAGCGGAAAGCCACGCCCCTCTCGGCCGCTGATTGGTCCGCCGGAGCTAGGTGGGGCTGGCCCTGATGAGGTCACGTGAGCACTTTCCCAAGATGGCCGCCCGGTTGTTTTGATGAATAATCCTGTGTGAGGCGGCGGGTTCGGCGGACTCGGCTTTCGGTGTTTCCGGTTACGGAAGGAGCTCGTGTTCGCTGTCGGCCGCACTTCGCGCACTTCGTGGCCGCTTTCTCGCAGGGTTTGACGGCAGACGATGCAGCTCTAGTCCCGGAGGGCTCCAACCTGCTCCTCTGCAGCCTGAGACCCCTCACCCCGGAGACCCCCTCACCCCTGGAGACCCCCCTCACCCCTGAGACCCCCCTCACCCCTGAGACCCTCACCCCGGAGGACCCCTCACCCCGAGACCCTCACCCCTGAGACCCCCTCACCCCGGAGACCCACCCTCACCCCTGAGACCTCACCCCGAGACCACCCGAGACCCCCTCACCCCTGAGACCCCCTCACCCCGAGACCCCCCTCACCCCGGGAGACCCCCACCCTCACCCCGGAGACCCCCACCCTCACCGAGACCCCCCCTCACCGTGTCCCTCACACGGACCCCACAACCTCTGCCACCATTAAAAGACAAGCCATGGAGGAGCTGAGCGCTGACGAGGTGAGTATCCGGAGTGAGGGGACCATAGAGCCGGTTACAGGAACTGCTCAGACAATCAATAATCAATAAATAATAATAATAGGACATTGATGGGTAAACCCCCCAGTGTGCCAGGACCATAGAGCCGGTTACAGGAACTGCTCAGACAATCAATAATAATAATCAATAAATAATAATCAATAAATAATAATAATAGGACATTGATGGGTAAACCCCCCAGTGTGCCAGGACCATAGAGCCGGTTACAGGAACTGCTCAGACAATCAATAATACTCAATAAATAATAATAGGACATTGATGGGTAAACCCCCCAGTGTGCCAGGACCATAGAGCCGGTCACAGGAACTGCTGAGACAACAGCGTGACAGTAATCAATAAATAATAATCAATAAATAATAATAATAGGACATTGATGGGTAAACCCCCAGTGTGTGCCAGGATAATGTACTACTTCCAGACAGCCCTGAAACATAGAAACATAGAATGTGACGGCAGATAAGAACCATTCGGCCCATCTAGTCTGCCCAATTTTCTAAAAACTTTCATTAGTCCCTAGCCTTATCTTATAGTTAGGATAGCCTTATACCTATCCCACGCATGCTTAAACTCCTTTACTGTGTTAACCTCTACCACTTCAGCTGGAAGGCTATTCCATGCATCCACTACCCTCTCAGTAAAGTAATACTTCCTGATATTATTTTTAAACCTTTGTCCCTCTAATTTAAGACTATGTCCTCTTGTTGTGGTAGTTTTTCTTCTTTTAAATATAGTTTTAAAGGGGATTCACTAAGCTGCGAGAGGTCTCGGGGCTGTCCGAAAGAGTGACGGCCAGTGTCTCTACAGGCACCTCGGTCTAAAGGAACCTGCTATACGAAGGCCTACCAGAGGTCTCATTACAAATTGGACATCATTTCCTCCGGAGGGCAATCATCCATATATCCCATAAGCAGGGATTGTTCCGCTGTACGCCTGTTATACCTGAGCTGGCTATAGCTCATCTAAATATGAGTGAAATATTTATATCTTTATCTCACATATATTGACCCTTACACTCTATACGATTGGTCTTTTATCTTGTGTCTTCTATATCACGAGACCAACAGGACTACTATAAACAGAGAAGAGACCCCGTCATCTAAAGCACCTTAAAAGACATTTATTGCCACAGTGCAACTTCTAAAATCTTTTTGGACTATTTTATAACCTTTATAAGTTTTATTTATGTCCTTTTACTATTTGTCTTTTTACTACTTTTAGTCCTCATTGATACATTTTGACGCAGCCTTGCATTACTGTTGTTGGTTTTTCATTCTTACCATAGAGGGTTACCCTCTGCTAGGCCGCTGCCTATCCACCTTGTTATTATTAGCGCTAACCTCCTTTCTTGTTTTTTCATTACTTATGTGTCTACTGGGCTAATATGCTACTTATAACTTGTAAAACCAATGGGTGCCAGGATAATATACTACTTTATAATGTGTAAAACCAGTGTGTGTCAGGCCAATATACTACTTATAATGTTTATACAGGGCTAATATACTTTTAATAATGTGAATACCATGCTAATATCCTAATAATGTGTATACCGGGCCGATATACTATTTATAATGTGTATATTGGGCTAATATACTATTAATGTGTATACCAGGCCCGTGAACTCTCTCTAGGACGTCTATACCGGGCCTGTTTTTTTTTGTTTGTTTTTTTTTACTAATGTACACTTTATTTTGTATATGCAAAACTAATGTAGTTCTTGCACTGTAAATATAAGGCTGATGTACTCTTTATACTGTGTATCCTAGGCTAATATATGTATCTTATGCCAGTATATAATGTATACATCACGCCAAATCTACAATCTAACTCTATTATTATTTGTATTTATAAAGCCCCAACAGATTCCGCAGCGCTGTACAATTAGTGGAGAACGTAGAATATAAACAGACAAATACTTCAAGCTCCAAAACATTTACAGTTTGTAGTTGTGGAGGCTGTGATGCCAGATGTACCCTGGCCCCTGTGAAGTTATTTATGGGGATTAATGACACATTTTTAATTAACTTAAATATTTTCCTATTAATTATTAAAATTAATAACCTTTATTAAAATTTCAGGGTTTGATATTTTATTGGCGCTACTTCCATTTATTATTTAAAGCGAAGTCACTCACTATTTCAACTCTTTAGACCTGGAGTATGTTGTCCGTTTAATACTTCATACGTTAATATCACAACTTTTTTTTTTTTTACTAAAAATTATAATATTCATTTTTATCAATAAGTTTAATTATACATGGTAATTAGTGAATAGTTTTCAATAATATTGAACAAAATAAGGCGCAAATCAATATCCCAATCTCAGTAACAATTTCAAGCTTTTTAGAGTGATAGGATTGTTATTTTATGACAACTTCAATCAACCGGGTTAGAATATGGAATATTTTCTTCATACTCTATTGATTGACATTTTGCAAGTCGCATGTTACTATTTGTTTAAATTATAAGGAACCATGTGAGTTTATCAGCATATGGATTATTATAATTTAAGGACTGTATTTTTTAAGATCCTGAAATATTCTCTTAGCTTTTTACTTCTTAATACAATTTACAAACACATGTGGATTGTTTGCTTATTGTAAACAACATTCATTAGACTTAAAGGACCACTCTAGGCACCCAAACCACTTCAGCTTAATGAAGTGGTCTGGGTGCCTGGTCCATCTAGGGTTAACCCATTTTTTTATAAACATAGCAGTTTCAGAGAAATGGCTATGTTTATAAATGGGTTAATCCTTCCTCCAATTCCTCTAGTGGCTGTCTCATTGACAGCCGCTAGAGGCGCTTGCGTGATTCTCACTGTGAAAATCAGTGAGAGCACGCAAGCGTCCATAGGAAAGCATTGTAAATGCTTTCCTATGAGACCGGCTGAATGCGCACGCGCGGCCGGAGCTGCGCGCGCATTCAGCCGAATGGGAGGATAGGATGAGGATCGGAGGAGGAGAGCTCCCCGCCCGGTGCTGGAAAAAGGTAAGTTTTAACCCCTTTCCTCTCCCCAGAGCCGGACGGGAGTTGGTCCCTGAGGGTGGGGGCACCCTCAGGGCACTATATGCCAGGAAAACGACTGTTTTCCTGGCACTATAGTGGTCCTTTAACTAGACAGAGTAAGTTATTTATTCAGGTGATCTACACAAAGTTCTACGACAATATTTTACCAGCTAGCCCAGAAGGTTAACCAGCTCAATGCTGTTTCAGAGTAATTGATTATGATTAATTCATCCAGTAACTAAATTCTTGTAGGTTTAGTTAAAGCAGTTTTTATCGGGTTAATATTCCCCTGGGTAACTGTTGATATTTTAATTTTTATTTCATGATTTTGATTAATATTCCTGTCTGCAGTTTGACATATTATATATATCATGAGCTATCATGAAACCCAATCTGGTGGATTTCGTATCCGCTTTTACCCAGAAAATATTAGCTTTTAGTTATGTAATTTTATAGTTGGTATAATTGGCTTATATTTACCGATAGATGTTTTGGATGTTATTTTAAGATTGTTTCAAAAAGTCTTCTTGTCCGTCTCTTGTCTTGTGTCCTTTCTCCTTCTGTGTGTCCCTTTGTCTCTGTGTCTGTTTGTGTAATTTTTTTTTATTTTTTTTTTTTGGTGTCTATATCATGGGATTGTAGGTCCATTCCTTATCTGTTAACCTTCTGACCTGGTCCAATGACATTTTGGGGCAAGTCATTATGTTAATGGCTATTGATGTCATTTTGATATATATTTCTACAGGTCTTAAACAGCAGGGGGAGCTGTTGTCTACGTCAGGAATGTTACCAGCTATTATCATATAGGGTCCTTGCTCACCTAAGCGTTATGGCAATTTCATGATATTTAAGCTAATTTAATTTATCTCATTGCCATATATATATATATATATATATCATATATCATATATCATATATCATATTTTCCGGCATATAAGAAGACTTTTTAACCCAGGAAAATCTTCTCAAAAGTCGTGGGTTGTCTTCTAGGGCGGTCTATGCAGTGCTGGCACTATCTGAGCGCCGGCCACGCAGTTTTCAATGAGGGGCCGGTGAGATCAAAGATCTCCTCACCGGCCCACTTGAAGAGACATGCAGCTGGGGAGGGAGAGGAGGACCCGGCGGGGGCCCTAAAGTAAAAAAAAGGCGGGGGTGGGACCTATTGTACTCCCCACCACAGCCCCTACCCCTGAGCGGCGGGTGGGGGCCCTAAATAACAATTTAGGGTACCCACCCGCCACGCAGGGGTGGGGGCCGGGGGGAGGACAGTAACCCCCCCCCCCACACTTATTTAGGGCCCCCACCACTCAATGGTGAGGGTCAGGGGGAGGACAGTATGGCCCCTCCCGCTCATTGTTATGTAGGGCCCCCACCCGCCGCGTAGGAGTGGGGGCTTGGGGGGAGGACAGTAGGCCCCCCCCCATTGTTGTTTAGGGCCCCCATTGTGCTGTATTGGCCGGCGTCTGAACGTGGAAGACTGCGTGTTGAGAAGGAAAGTATATTCTCGCCAATATTGGCAACTGTGGAGACTCATTCCAAATATTGTCAATGTGCCGAATATCGGCTCTAATAATCTGCCAAGTCAAATTTGCCTGTTCCTTACTGAGCATCATGGGATATGGAATTCCACCTTGTCTTGATATGCAGGCTGTTCAATGGATTGATTAACTCTAGGGATGAAAGTTTAAATTTATACTATAAAAAAAACATTTTTTTAAAGTGTGTGCCTTTGTGGGTACTCTGTGACAATTGTTAAAAGATAACCCCATGTGAGACCTGGGCTACCATACGCTCTCAAAGGCAACATAACCAATCTGGCAAATTTCAATGTCAAAAAAATGAAATGCAAGCCTTATATGTGACTCTAAATTTCCAAAACACCGTAAAACCTGTACATGGGGGGCACTGTTATTCTCGGGAGACTTCACTAAACTCAAATATTAGTTATTTCAAAACCGTAAAACATATTACAACAATATAGTCCATAAAAGTGCTGTTCGTTTGTAAAAAATACAAAAAATTTCACTTTTACTTAAAATTTCATCGTTGTAATACAATTTATCATTTTGAAACACTAATATTTGAGTTCGGCGAAGTCTCCTGAGTAAAACAGTACCCCCTATGTACAGGTTTTATAGTGTCTTGGAGAGTTACAGGGTCAAATATAGTGTTTGCGAATTTAATTCTCCGTTTTCTCCCTGTGTTGTCAGATAGATATAGATATCAAAATACAATTAGAATGAAATTACATATGAATATATAATTTATATAAAATTTCGTTTCATTTTTTGCTTTGTATATATATATATATATATATATATATATATATATATTATACCGTATATTTCGCTCCATAAGACGCACTTTTTTTTTCTCAAAAGTGAGGGGAAATGTCTGTGCGTCTTATGGAGCGAATGTAAAGCTTTACTTACCTGTCTTGGAGCATGGGCCGGCTTCACAGCGCGCTCCGCGGTCCAGGAACTTCTATTTCAGGTTCCGGTTTCCGGCGGGACTGAAAGGAAGTGTGTTAAAGATCATTATGGGGGAGAGAAAAAAATATTCTGAACAAACTGTCCCATAGTAAGAAACACTATGGAACAGTTTGTTCAGAATATTTTTTTTTCTGGGTTTCCTCCTCTAAAAACTAGGTGCGTCTTATGGTGAGGTGCGTCTTATGGAGCGAAAAATACGGTATATATTATTTTTATTTTTTTTTTAATTTTAATTTCATACATGTCTAAATTTTTTTTTTTTTTTACACTACCTACCAGCAGGGGGACTCTGATATTTTAGACAGTCCCCCTGCTGGCAGATCCACAGCCAGCTATTAGGGGGCCATGTGATCGCTCTTTGAGAGCGATCACATGGCCCCCGGGGGCCTCATTTGCCGGGGTGGGCTGCCTGGGCTGTCAAGCAGCCCTCCAGAAGAGGATCGCGGCGGAGGTGAGTAGATCTCACCTCCTGGGGGCTTAAGCCGTTACGGCGTTCTATGCCGCCGCAACGGCTTTAAGGGGTTAAATGTTTCTATCAATGTAATAGCTGCTCTATTACATTGTCTTCCTATCTTTCAGTCATCTGAAATAATTACTCCTAAATCCCTTTCCTCAGATGTTGAGGTTAGGATATCAAATATTCTATACTCTACCCATGGGTTTTTACGCCCAAGATGCATTATCTTGCACTTATCCACATTAAATGTCAGTTGCCACATCTCTGACCATTTTTCTAATTTACCTAAATAATTTGCCATTCGGTTTATCCCTCCTGGAACAACAAACCCCGTTACATATCTTAGTATTATCAGTAAAAATACATATCTTACCACCAAGACCTTCTGCAATATCACTAATAAAAGTATTGAAGAGAATGGATCCAAGTACAGATCCCTGAGGTACCCCACTGGTAACTAGGCCTTGCTTTGAATATACTCAGTGGACTACAACCCTCTGATGCTTGTCCTTCAGCCACTACCTAACCCATTCAACAATATTGGAATCCAAACTTAAAGATTGCAGTTTATTGATAAGCCTTCTATGTGCAACAGTGACAGAAGCCTTACTGAAATCTCAGTAAGCAATGTCTACTGCACCACCCTGATCTATAATTTTAGTTACCCAATCAAAAAAATCAATAAGATTAGTTTGGCGTGATCTCCCTGAAGTAAACCCATGTTGTTTCTGATCTTGAAATCCATGTGATTTTAGATGTTCAACAATCCTATCCTTTAACATGGTTTCCATTACTTTCCCCACTACTGAAGTAAGGCTTACTGGCCTATAGTTGCCCAACTCCTCCCTTCTACCTTTCTTGTGAATGGGTAGAGCATTTGCGAATTTCCAATCTTCTGGGACTACTCCTGTTTATGATTGGTTAAATAAATCCGTAAATGGTTTTGCTAGTACACCACAAAGTTCTTTTAATAATTTTGGGTGTATCCAGTCGGGTTCCATCGACTTATTTGCCTTTTATTTTTGACAGTTAAAATAGAACCTCTTCCTCTGTAAACTCCTTTTTTATTTTTTTACTGCAGTCCCTCTCCATTTTCATCTGTAAATACTGAACAAAAATATTCGTTGAGGCAGTCAGCTAGACCTTTTATCCTCTTCTACATACCTTCCTTCTTTTGTTTTTAATCTAACTTGTAGTCGCATAGCAACATAACATACTCCTTGTGTGCACCTGTATGCCAATAATAGTATAACATCTGAAACCAAAAGGAGCATGAACATATTTTAATTCATGTGCTTGATTAAAAAATACTGTCCTTTCAGATGGAATAGAACCAAGTCTCCTGTTTACTCTCTTCTTGGTCCGGCTGGTGGTGACTGCTTTGTCACTGTCCAGCAGGTCATAAAATCTCCATAAATGCCATGTGCCCTACTTATTTTGGATGACTTGGAACACAGGCCACTTACAGAAAGCTGTGGGTGCTTGCCATCGGTGGACCCTGAAGTAAATTACCTGGATTTGTATGGACCTCTTGTTACAGAGCTATGTTCCATGATGAATTTGGGTATACTGTGATGTTATGGATGGTATTTTCCATATTAAATTTCTGTCTGATGTATGTCTGAAAGCACCTACATGACTTTTGACCTCCTGTGTAAAGCACAGAGATCAATGATTTGACACATTCCACAAACTTGCAGCTTTCAATCTGGGCAAATTTAGGGTACACCACTCAATGAATGGGAGATTGTTCTAAATGCTGAAGTGAAGGGTCTATTTTTTTGAACTGAACACTGGGATCATATATGCGGAATAACAAGTAGTTTGCATATAGGTCTCATATTGGGGAGTGTGACAGTTCTTTGTATTCAACTGACTTTTTGTAATAAAGATGCTACAAAAATGTCAACATTCATCATCTAAAGTCTTTCTGCTTTCGTTGAAGGACTCTGGCTTGCATACAGGATGTGTACCTGTCACTGAGAGCTTTATGAAGGTGACATCCATGTGTATGAGAATGTCCCAAAACACTGACATCACAAGTTATTATTGGAAGTGTTGGAGACTTGATCACATTTTTCCATGAAGTCCTATCATAAGGACCAGTAATATGAGTCCTTAAGGTTTATATTCTAATCACAAGACGGGCAAACAAAGTAGTACCACACATTGAAGTTGGGCTTTTTACAAGCCTCTTCCTGGAAAGGCACATGTTATCCACAGTATCCGTTCTGTAAAGAAGCAATGTATGGCCATGGTTTAGAAGCTGAAAGGAAGTCCTGGCCTTTCACTCAATGTTTTCCTTTAACTTCCAGTAAATGTATTTACCAGTTGATAAGAGCGTTGACTTTCCAAGGTTTTGGTTCTGCCTGCTCATTCATCGTAGGGTACATAAAAGATGATGCCTGGAAGTATTTTTGTTGTTTTAAAGAGAATGTGCTCCCAAGATAAAATGGAAACTGGACTAAACCACTTCTTGGTTTTTTAGTTAAGACTTTATATTGACTTTAACCTACTATATTTCTCTTACTGTATCTTCCATCTCTTAAGTGCTGGAAGTACGAATACCTATTGAACACTGCTTTATTTACACATTACTAGAAATTAAAAACTCTACAGGTCCATGAAGCCTTGGTTTAATTGTTTTGGTTGGAGAACAGTGGTCAGTGATATGTTCCGTTGAGTTCTGAAATAATGAAACACTATAGGCACCCAGATCACTTCAGCTCCTTAAAGTGCTCTGAGTGCAATTTCACAGGTCCCTTCAAGCGGCACTGTCATGGCCAAATCCAGTTTTTTGTTTTTTAACCCCACTCTCCTGACTCCTCTACATCTAATTGCCCCTGTAGTCTGCCCCCGAGCCCCCCATATTAACTATTTTTTTAATCTTCATTTCGTGCCCGGACCTAGGTGGGACACGTCATCTGTCCACACTAGATAGCGCTGTGAAATTCCTGCGCATGCCTAGTTAAACACTTGGGTATTCGCTATTGTCCAAAAATTGGACGGGAATTTCGTATTCATTCGTCTGAAAGACGAAGGAATAAATAGACATTTCAGACAAACACCATCAGTGTTCGTTTGTTCAGTTTATTAAAAGGCGGGAGCTACCGGCACGCAGCTCCTTCCTTGCCTGTGACTACTCAGTTGTAGCTTTGGAATTTTCCCACGTTGTGTAAAATGACTCCGAGCACTCTTGTTGGATTCCAAGCCAACTAATAAGAGTGCTCTGATAGGTAAATTTGAGCCTTGCAAGTTGCCAATCAGAGCACTCTTAATTGGTTGGCCTAAACAACCAATAAGAGCGCTCTGAGTCAAATTGCAGGCCATGGGAAGGCTTTATAAGCTATTCCCCACTAGGGATCGACTGATTATCGGTTTTACCGATATAATCGGACGATATTCGGTATTTTCGGCAATATCGGTATCTGCCAATTCAGATACCGCTATTGCTGATAATACCTTCTAGGACCGCCAGGTTCATTACAAGCCCGGCTGTCCTGGGGGGGGCGCTTACTCACCTCCCAGCAGCTACTCCAGCTCCCCAGTGTAACTCTCGCGAGACCCGCGGGCGTCCGAGCGTTGCCATGGGTTACCATGGCAACACTCCGCGCGGCACACTGGCCGCGAGAGTTACACTGGGGAGCTAGAGGAGCTGCTGGGAGGTGAGCCAATACCACTGGACCACCAGGGATTGCTATATCCCCCCTTCCTGGCCAGGTATGAAACAGAGGAGGGACAACAAAATAAATAATTATAAAAAAAAAATATATATAAAAAATGCCCCCCCCCCCACACACACTCCATTATATACACATACACTACACAAACACAATGTGTATATAATGCAGTGTGTGTCTGTGTAGTGTGTTTATATAATGCACACTATACAAACACACTGCATTATATACGCACACTATACAAACACACTGCATTATATACGCACACTATACAAACACACTGTGTATACAATGCAGTGTTTGTGTAGTGTGTATATAATGCAGTGTTTGTGTAGTGTGTGTGTGTATATAGTTAATGCAGTGTGTTTGCATAGTGTGTTTATATAATGCACACTACACAAACACACTGCATTATATACACACACTATACAAACACACACACACACTCTGCATTATATAAACACACTACATTCATTATCTACACTACACAAACACACACACTTTGCATTTAGTATATACTGCATTCACTTTACGCACACTACACAAACACTCTGCTTTCATTTTATATACACACTAGACAAATACACACTGCATCCACTACACACTAGACAAATACACACTACACTAACACGCACTGCATCCACACACTACACAAACACACACTGCATCCACTACACAAACACACTGCATCCACTACACACACTACACAAACACATACAGCTCCCCTGTCTAAACACACTGCATCCACTACACGTGGCATGTATATTTTGTGCATTTACCTTTAGAAATAGTTTTTATTTTCCAAAATGGTAAATGTACAGAATATCGGCTATCGGCCTGAACGTTCACAGAATATCGGTCGATCCCTATTCCCCACCCTGCGGAGCTCAGTCTGCGCGGTGCCCTCGCATTTTTTTTTTTTTTTTTTGCGCACTCAGGTTTTTTATTTATTTTTAAAGTTCAGGTATTATTCATTTTTTATTTGTCCTTTTTTGGGGCTGAAAAAAGGCTTTAGAAAAAACATCAAATGGTAAGTATTTACATTTTATTTACAGGTATTTAGTTTTATTGTCCCTAGTGAGGGGGCTAGTTAGGGCTTTAATTATTATTATTATTTTTTTTTTGGGTGGGGGGGTGACTAGGGGTTTGGGGACCCCTAGTCACCCCTGGGGGAGGGGGAGGTTACATGTAGCCCCCACCTGTCGCCCATGTGTGTGGTCATGGGGGAGGATGACAATAGGTACCTCCCCCCCATTGTCTTTTATTGCCCCCACCTGCCGTTCATAGGTGGGGGCCAAGGGAGACCCCATGTCCCCCTGTTAGTTGAATAGCCCCCACTCGAGGGGGACACTATGTTCTGTCCCACCTTGTTAGTTAAAAGATGCCCCACCATGGGGTCATTTATTGAGGGGAAGGGGTAAAATAGTCCTTACTTTGTGTTATGTTTTAAAGAAAACTAGAGCAGACAGGTAGAAACGCAGAACAGATCGTGACAGAGGACGAGAAGAGGATGCGATTAGGGAAAGGTAAGTTCGGCATGACAGTGCCACTTTAACCCTGCAGTGGTAGTTATTGCTGTTTATTAAAAATTGCAATAATTACCTGCCAGGGTTAACTCTACCTCTAGTGGTGGTCTACCAGGCAGCCACTAAAGGGACTTCTGTGTCGTTAGGAGACTTTTAGTCGTCTAACGCTGGACGTTCCCACGCTATGCATGAGGACATCCGTCGTCATGGGAAAGTTTTAATGCAAGCTTGGCAAGTGCTGTACAAGCGCATTAGGTTTTTCTTAGGCAATGTAAAACGTTGCCATTTTTGGTGAACCTCCCCAAAAAAAAAAAGTACATGCCCTAGAGCAGGGTGTGACGAAATGCCTTTTGTCACTGGATTTTTAGGTGACAAGTTGCCCTTTGCCCCTGCTGTTGGAATAGCCTGAGTGCCAGCCTCATGACTACGGCCCTGGGTTGTATGGCACTTTACAAACATTATTTGGGCTAATGGATTTATATTGTGCTGCTGCTAGCCCTTATAGAACTGCATTGTGGTTTATGGACTTGTATTGGACCATGCTGGCCCTTTAAGAACCGTCTGGGGATATATTGAGACTTTGTGCCAGACCTTTCAAATACTTTGTCTATGGCTTTCTCCCACTTTTTTCAGTAAATGGGGCTTACTGAACCAAGTACCACACAGGCAGACCACCCAGAAGTGGAAGTGTGCAGGCAATTTACCTCCCATTGCCATCTTTAATTCAGCTGAAGTTTTACCTTCTCCAGACTTCAATGCATTCGACAGTTCGAACGCCATTCGACAGTTCATTTGAATGTTCATTCGACAGTTTCGACAATTCGAATGGCTGTCGTTCGTCTGTTTGAACTGACTTTAACATGGGAAATAGAACGACCGCACAGCCTGATTCTCTGGAACTGTTTTGGACATGAAAATGTGCTTTCGGTCGGTCATAAAGGACTCCCAGCTAACCTTTTATCTACTGGGGGGGATTCGTATGATTTTTGGTTATGTTTATATTTAAAGTATGCTGATTCTGAATATATATGTTTTATGTGAATATTGCATATGCATATTTTTAAAGTTACAGTATATGTCTAAAAAGTGTATTTTTCCTGCCTGTGATAAATTACATTAACCCATTGTGTTCAGTAATTATATCACAGGCAGACGGGAGGGATTGTATTTTGGGACTGGGTGTGTTTTTACGGTTTTCCTGTAAATGATTGGTTGTACTGTGTCCCACCCTGTGGGATATCCCCTTGCATGGGGATTTGCATAAAAGCCAGTGTGTGGTCATTAAAAGTCAGATCATCTTGTACCTTCATGAAGTTTCGGCTCATGTTTGGGGGATTGGAGAAACTACACTCTGGGGATTGCTATAATCACTATACTCCCCAGGGTATAATCACTAAGCTCTGCTAAGAGCTTGTTCATGTTCCTGATCTCTGGAATTCAGAGAGAGGTCGACCTACTGGAAGCTGGACCCTGGTATTGGGTCCAGAGTGGGTGGAGACGGCGAGACCCCAACCAAGCTGCGGCGGTTCGTGGGGTCTGCAGTGGTTATGGTGTCGGACAGAGTGCTTGGAGTCCTCGGAAAGCACTAGGAGCATCCGTCGGCGGAAGGTACCCGGTCGGGGTGCCAGCGGTTCCGTCACACAGGGGTTCTCAAACTCTGGCCCCCCCACATGTTGCTGAACTACAACTCCCATGATCCTCTGGCTATCTATGTAATTCAAAGAATCATGGGAGTTGTAGTTCAGCAACATCTGGGGGTCGGAGCTTGAGGACCCCTGCCCTAGAGTCTTCCTCAAGACCTTCCGTTTTCATGATGCTGAATGTGTTCAGTGCTTCTCAATGAAGCATCGGATTGGCAGAGCACCGTGCATTGCAAATTCTTCTTTATGAAGTCCTGTCCAACTAGAGATGCAGTTTACTCATTAATTCAGATTTCTCTAACGCTGAAGCTTTTCAGGGTTGTTCACTAAAGTAAGAATTGTTGGGAATTCAAATTGACGTTCAAAATATAAAAACTGAATAATTATCAAGGCCTGCAATGCTACCGGTTCAGCTACTTTTAAAATTTAAGTTGAATTTGCTACAGTTCACACTTTACTCAGGAACTCTTTTTGTTTTCTGTACTTAGATCACTTTGAGAATCATGTCAGTATGGGTTTTAATATTTGTATTACCTTTTGCTTTCGCATGATTGCACAGTTGTAGGCTGTGTGCATGTTTACTTTTCCTTTTTTAAATCAAAATTTCCCGTTACACCATATCCTGGTAAGCTGTATTGTTTAATCTGTAGAAAGTACCGAAATCTCAAATAACTTGTATTCTACCCACCTTCTCCTGCATGTTGTGATAGATTATTGTTGCTAAAGTCCCATCCGTGTACACTAGTTATTAATTTGCCTCTGTCTTTTTTATTTCAAATATTCATGCTGCCTAATACCCACATGTTTCCTGGCCTTTTAAGATTAGCAAATAACCTGCATGCTTTTAAAGTTAACATAAACAGCTTGGATCTTCTTCTAGACAATTAAATCTTCCAGTTCCTGGAGTTCTTTGCACACCTTTGTAGATCTTGCGTTCCTCTGAGATGCAGTTAACCCCATGCTATGTAGCAACTGAATAAACATTCTTCTTTGTGTTGTTCAAACGTTCTTTGGCAGACGTGTTCTCATCAGGGCAGAATTTAGTCTGTCTGTCGTTGCCTTTAATACTGTACAATAAGTAGCTATATGTTAGACCATTTTCACTGACAAAGCTTCATGCTATTTTTACATCTGTCTCCATTGGCTAGAACAGATGGAATATGCTCAGTTTAACATTCACTAAACTTGTTTGCTTAAAGGGACACTATAGTCACCAAAACAACTTTAGCTTAATGAAACAGTTTTGTTATATAGATCATGCCCCTGCAGTCTCAATGCTCAATTATCTTTAGGAGTTACATCACTTTGTTTATGAACCCTAGTCACAACTCCCTGCATGTGACTTGCACAGCCTTCCTAAGCACTTCCTGTAAAGAGACATCTAATGCTTATCCTTCCTTTATTGCAAGTTCTGTTTAATTTTGATTTTCCTATCCCCTGCTATATTAATAGCTTGCTAGACCCTGCAAGAGTCTGCTGTATGTGATTAAAGTTCAATTTACAGAGCAAGAGATAAAAATTGTTTAATATAAATTACATCAGATTGAAAGTGAAACCAGTTTTTTTTTTTTCATGAAGGCTGTGTCAAAGGCTGCATAAACAGAAACAAAGTGATTTAAAGCTGCACTGTCATGCCGAACTTACCTTTCCCCAATCTGTTCCTCTTCTCTCCCTCTCTTGGGATCTGTTATTCATTTCTTCCTGTCTGCTGTAGTTTTCTTTAAAAATTAAGACAAAGTAGGGACTATTTCTCTTCTGGAGGTTTCCTACGCCATGACCAGCGGAGGAGCAAAGTGTGCTTCGTTTCCTGTGGTCAGAGCTATTTTCCCATAACCCTTGGCTTTCCTTCCTGTTCCCGCGATGCATCTTGACGGTATTGCTGAACGTCCTGTCACTTAGACAGAACGCCGGCAAAAGTGCCGAATTGCATCCTAACAGAATGAGAACAGTTTCTCCATTCGTGTTAGAATGCAATTCAGGACTTTGTTTGGATCGCAATTTCATTCGAATGAAGGAAACTTCGATCCTATTTGTGCTATGGCTGCATCTTGCAGCCGCTTAGTAGATGGCTCCCTAATTCCCACGGTATTAGGGAGCTATCTACCAAAAGGCTGAAAGACCTAAATTGGTCTTCCAGCCACATTTACTAAGATTACTTAGTATTAGTAAATTCTGCCCCTACTCGCAATACCGCGAGTAGGGGCATGTCTAGTAAACAGTGAGCAGCCAGTGGCTGCTCACTGTTTAAAATTAAATAAATAAAAACCTAGTACCCTAAAGGATAGTGGGGGGGAGGGGGGAGACTGTTGTCCCCCCCAAGGTGACTAGGCGTCCCAAAGCCCCTAGTCACTCCCACCCAAATAAAAGCTATCCCCTACCTACCCTCCTCACCCTAAAAATAGTGAGGGGGGAATAAAATAACTAACCTGTAAATAACTTACCATTTGATGTCTTCTTTCTTCTAAAATCTTCATTTTTCAGCCACAAAAAAGGCCAAATAAAAAAACTCATACCCGTCAAACTAAAATAAAATAAATCCAGACGAAAAAGAAAAAACCTGACGCTAATTATTATTTAGGGCCCCCACCCACCGCGCAGGGGTGGGGCTGGGGGAAGGACAATAGGTTCCACCCCTTATTGTTATTTAGGGCAGCCACTCGGGTGGAGGGGGGGGGGGGAACGATATTTTTTTTGGTGTCTTTTTTTTTAACAGTGAGCAGTGACATGCCCCTACTCGTGGTATAGTGAGTATGGGCAGAATTTACTAATACTAAGTAATCTTTACTTCGTATTAGTAAATGTGGCTGGAAGACCAATTTAGGTCTTTCAGACTTTTGGTAGATAGCTCCCTAATACCGTGCAAGATGCAGCCACTGCACGAAAGGATCGGAGTTTCATTCATTTGAATGAAATTGCGATCCGAACAAAGTCCCGAATTGTGTTCTAAAAGGAATGGAGAAACTGTTCTCATTCTGTTAGGACGCAATTCGGCAGTTTTGCCAGCGTCCTGTCTAAGTGACAGGACGTTCGGCAATACTGACAGGAAGCATCGCGGGAACATGGAGGAAAGCTAAGGATTATGGGAAAATTGCTCTGACCACCGGAAACGAAGCACACTTTGCCTCTCCGCTGGTCATGGCATAGGAAACCTCCAGAAGATAATAGTCCCTACTTTGTCTTAATTTTTAAAGAAAACTAGAGCAGACAGGAATAAATGAATAACAGATCCTGAGAGAGGGAGAGAAGAGGAATCGATTGGGGAAAGGTAAGTTCGGCATGACAGTGCCGCTTTAACTCCTAAATGGCAGTGAAATGAGCAGTGAAACCTGAGAGGCATGATCTATACACTAAAACTGCTACATTAAGTTAAAGTTGTTTAGGTGACTATAGTGTCCCTTTAATTCCTTGATTTAATATTGCTGCCATACTCTTATTGTAGTTATGTGGCACAGTCATTTTGAAATCTCTATATGGTTATCACTTTATGCTACATGTAATGGTTGACCTTATTACAATATGGAGTGTGGACATTTTGTCCACTGTATTTCTCCCTGACTGTATCCTTTACTCTTTTAATTTCCTTTTCTGTATTCTTCTTCATACAGATGAATTGCATTAGTTAATATTCAATGTCTCTTCTCTTTACAATGTTCAACATGAACTTTCCCCTGTGTGTATGTCACAGGTGATTGTAATCTGTAATGGAAGTTTAGAATTTAATGGGTGGGTTGTGTAGTACACCAAGGATGTGGTAGATTTTTTTTTTTTATTCCATGTGCCACTCTCTTCTCCTAGGCAACATCAGGTACCTGACATGAACTGTATTCATCATATTGCATAAAATTGCCAAATGTGAGAGCAACAAATAGCTCCACATTTCTTGTTTTGTTGACATTCATGAAACCAACTTAGAAACCCTCCATAAATACTGCAGAGACCCACATTTAAAAAAAGACAGACTGTCCTTGGTGTTGAATATTGCACCGTTTATGTACACGCCCCCAATATTTTATTATCGTGGCTTTTCCGATGTCTTCAAACTCAGTCTTGGCCAATAACATATTTTGGAGTTGTTCTGATGCAACATGTCTTCAACTAGGGCAGTGTTCCGGGAAACCATTGTTACTGAGCAGCAGTGCAGAGGTCGGTTTTATCCCTAGGGATACCGGAGATAACTGGAAATTTCCATCAGTCCTGGCTATTTAGAGAAAAAAAAATTATAGCATTGAATTGACCTTGTGATACATCTGATATTACTTTAGTCTTCGACAGCTGATCAGTCTCAGGCTTACTGATCCATCCAATAAATTAATGTTCCTCCAAAGTTCACACTGATGGCTGTCACCGTTAATGGTTAACCTGCAGATTAGTTTCTAGTTATGGGATCAAGAAGCAGTTGACAGAATTAATTAAGGTAGCTCTGTTAACCTGAGGGATGGTTTGATGAATTAAGGAAAATGTTGCCATAAGGCATTATGAAGTGATGGAGATCTAAAGGCCTCGAGGTGCCGAGATAATTTTGGATAACTGCCGCTTTGAACGAAGGAGGGGCATTTGGTATTCTTCAAGTTATAACAAATTTGTAGATGATCTAGAAAGACATCGTACAGCTTGTATGCTTTGTATAAAATGCTAAGTTTTAGTTTTTTCCCCCTTGTTTCCAGATTAGACGGCGGCGCCTCGCTCGACTTGCTGGAGGCCCATCCTCACAGCCTACAACTCCGCTAACTACTCCACTCACTTCGCCACAAAGAGAGAATCCGCCTGGACCACCAGCCCCATGTGTGTCCCACCAGCTTGGCCTAAATGTTCATGGCATGACCCCAGCTACCTCACCCATTGGTGCATCCGGTATGTGACCACATGCATCCTCAATATGTGTATTTGTAACAGTCCTTAGCAGGCTTTAGAGATGAATTTAAAGGGACACTTTAATCACCAGATCAACTACAGCTTATTGAATTTGTTCTGGTGAGTAGAATCATTCCCTTCAGGCTTTTTGCTGTAAGCACTGTCTTTTCAGAGAAAATGCAGTGTTTACATTACAGCCTAGTGATAACCTCACTGGCCACTCCTCCGATAGCTGTTAGAGATCCTTCCTGGGTCATGGCTGCCTAAAATGCATCCAAACATTCAGTGTCTCCTCCCTCTGCATGCAGACACTGAACTTTCCTCATAGAGATGCATTGATTCAATTCATCTCTATGAGGAGATGCTGATTGGCCAGGGCCTGTTTGTCAGTCTCAGCCAATCCTATGGGGAAGCATTGTGATGGGATCAGGCTACCACTTCTGCTGATGGCAGTGGGCAGGTCTGAAAGAAACATGCACAAAGCATGCAGCTGCAGACTTTAATAAAAGTAAGAATTACTATATTTAGGGAGGCATGAGGGGACCAGGGTGGCTAGATGGTGGTTTTAACCCTTTAGGGTCAGGAATGCATGTTTGTGTTTCTGACCATATAGTGCTCCTTTAACCATTTACCCTGTTTGGATGGGGTGCGTTTATTTTCTTCCCTGCTTTAGGTCTATGTGTCTTGATTTTTGATGAACCTGTAGTGCCAGGAGGCTGTTTTATCCTTTCAGAGTTTCCTTGCTGGTTTCTCTCTGGCTTTTATTAAATCACAAATGTCGACTTTTGTCCTTTACCTTCTTAGACTTTGGTCTGCAGTACATGAAACATTTGCCAAATTCTAATATTAAAAGTACTCTCCAGTGCCAGGAAAACAAACCCGCTTTTTCCTGGCATGGCACTATCTTGCAGTGCCCCCTTCCCGCCCCCTATGCCATGTCACTGAAGGGGTTAAAGCCCCTTCAGCTAGTTACCTGAATCCAGTGCCGTTGTCCCTCGGCGCTGGGTAAGGCTCCGTCCATGCTCCTCCCCCTACGGGGGAGACCTAATGTGCGGCAGACCTCCCCATAGGAGAGCATTATTCAAGGCTTTATGGGGAAAATCTGATGCTGGAGGTCAGTGAGGACTTCCAGTGTCAGATAACAGACCAAAAGTCTGTTATGAATCCGGAAGCACTGAAGGCAGATTTAGAGCTACAATGTAAACATTGCAGTTATCTGTTTTTACATTGCAGCACTAAGTGCAATAGGGGAACAGCACCCAGACCACTTCAATTAGCTGAAGTGGTCTGGGCGCATGGAGTGTCCCTTTAAGTCCCAATCCTTATTTCTAAAGTAAACCTAACCTACAGCTATCATTCCTTGGGTGCGGTATTTGAGTACAGAAACACCTCCTGTTCCTAGATACCTACAGCAGAGAATTATGTATGTATTTATGTTTTTTGAACTGCTTAAGAAGGAACAAATCAATACTTATTTATTTCGTATTCTTTATTTTAATACTCTTTAACTCTTTTGCCTTACATCTTATTCTATTTTACGTTTTTCATGAATTTGTGATGCAAGACTAGATTCTTCAGTGATGTACTATAGGGACGCCAGATCAACTAATTTATTTTGAAACTTTGTCATTTGTGTTTCAATTCACATAAATTCTGAATTTAGTGAATAAATATAGCAGTGATGGCGAACCTTTTTGAGCCTGAGTGCCCAAATGGCAATCAATGCCAGTTTTTTTACTCAAAGTGCCAACACTGCAATTATACCTGAATACTGAGGTTTAAGTTTAGAAAAAACAACTTGTCCGAACTAATTAACATCTTTTGTTTTAAAAGAACACAACAGCAGAGTTCAATGATACAAATGTTAAATAATGATATAAATAGATAAAATTAAGCTTATATTTATTATCTCCAACAAATGCAGTACATACATACACAGACTGCTGAATACATACACACAGACTGTGTATTTGGGGGGATGGGGGTGGTAGTAAAGATACATAAAGATTTTATGTATTTTTTATTTTATCCCCCTCCCTTCTTCTTTCCTTTGAAAGAAGCCCTGGTGTTCTGTTGGCGGTGAGTATGTGCCTGGCTGCAGCTCTCCTGTCCTCCCGTGCAACTCTGTGTGGAGCGTTAACATGGGAACGCGCGGCAACGCTCCACACAGATTGCGCTGCTTCCTTGATCCCTCCCCCTGCCTCCAGGTTGTCCCGACACGAAAGCAGAGTAGGCGCCTGCTGTTTTGGGCAGGCAGGTGCCTACTCTGCATTGCTGCCGACCGGCGCCAGCAGCACCCTCCTCCGGTGACCAATGGCCGCGTGAGGGTTCAGTGTGCCACAGGTTCGCCATCACTGCCCTATAGAGTCCAACTAGGTCAACATCTAGTAAAGAATGAGCTTTCTAAAGTAATGTTAAAGGGGCACTACAGTCACCAAAACCATTACAGCTTAATGTAGTGGTTCTGGTGTTTGTTGCAGTTTCCTGCAGGCTTTTCAAAAGTGGCAGGGAGCTATAGGGAATTAATCGGAGTGTAAATTAGGAATCCCTCTCTAGCTCCACTTTGGCTCATTGAGTGTTGGACTGCAAGGGAACGATTACTGTGGTTAGCACCTACTGAAGGTGAAGACCACATGCTTCCCACTGGACCATTTGACACTTTAGTCCTCCCATGGACCGGCCCGATCCTTTAATATTTGCAATAAGATAAAGATTTTATATTTAGAATAACTTTTCCTATTGGCTTAACAGTTGTCATAATTGATTTTATGTTATACCATTAGAATTACGAAGACAGTGATGAAATTGTTGCATGTTTAATAGGTTGATCACTTATATTTGGAAAAGTATTTAAATTGGTTTATTTAACTAAAATATATAGCTGCCTTGAAACTATGTATAAACGTTAAAGGACCACTATAGTGCCTGGAAAACATACTCGTTTTCCTGGCACTATGGTGCCCTGAGGGTGCCCCCTCCCGCCCGGCTCTGGAAGGGGGAAAGGGGTTAAAACGTACCTTTTTCCAGCGCTGGGCGGGGAGCTCTGCTCCTCCGATCCTCCTCTTCTCCTCCCCGTCGGCTGAATGCGCACACGCGGCAAGAGCTGCGCACGCATTCCGCCGGTCACATAGGAAAGCATTATCAATGCTTTCCTATGGACGCTGGCGTGCTCTCACTGTGAAAATCACAGTGAGAAGCACGCAAGCGCCTCTAGCGGCTGTCAATGAGACAGCCGCTAGAGGAAATAGGGGAAGGCTTAACCCATTCATAAACATAGCGGTTTCTCTGAAACTGCTATGTTTATGAAAAAATGGGTTAACCCTAGCTGGACCTGGCACCCAGACCACTTCATTAAGCTAAAGTGGTCTGGGTGCCTAGAGTGGTCCTTTAACTTTGCCTGGCATGGTTGTTTATTTAAATAGTTGTTATTATTGGCATTTATATAGTGCCAACTTATTCCATAGCACATTACAATATTATAAAGATAGAAATTCATCAATCAATTAGACCATTAAAAATGTTGCAGGAATAAAAGGTTGATTTGGACTCTGCTCAAATTAATTTACAAGTTGTTTATTTAAATAGCAGCAGCACATAGCCACAGCTGTACTGAAGATGCGTGTGAGCCTGAGATGACATAGTCACTGTTAAAGGAATGCTCCAAGCACCACTACTACTACATCACACTCCTGTTAGTATTGGTACTGGCTTCTTGTGCTTGGAGTGTTCCTTTAAAGCTTACATTTACTGCGGCTCAAGCAGTCCCAGAGCTGCTTCGTTAGTCTGTTCTTGAGAATATCTGCTACCTTCGACAGTCAATTTGTCCATTTCCTGGTTTTTAATATTTGGACAACTCACAGACTACATATTCAGTAAGGTAGCTTGTGTGATCTCATAGTGTCCTTTGAACACTGGGAATATGCCATCCTAATTTAAAAGGTTGCAATTTAGCATGTTCGTTTGGGATGGCTATTGGATATATTTCATTTCAGACATACCCTGCTCTCAGTCAACATTCTAGTTGAATTATCTGTAAATAACTAACACAGATCAAGAGTTTTTGTTCTAAAGATGCATTTTGTTCCTGTGAGTGGCTTGTGTGCTAAACAATGCACCTTCATAACACTTCATGCAGTTTCTCTATTATGAGTACTGTATATAAACCTAATCTTTTCATCTTTATACATATGCCCGCTCTTAAATAGGTTTGCCATTTAAAATACACAATGTCGTCTTTCCCTGTTAGATACACTTTAACAAGTCATTGTTCTCTGAAAAAATACAGGTTGATATTTTGTGTCCAAAGACCTTCCAAAGTTGAAACTTTGCAAATATAAGGAAAATTCAATATGTGTGGCCTGGGGTTTGAAATGCAGATAAATCAAGACAGATCTGATTTTCTCTGACCGCCAATCAGAGCCTATTGTTACTAGATGTATTATGCACTAGGATAAGGATTAGGGCCTGTTTTTCAAAAAACAAAACCTAAGTGTAGTGAATTGGAATCTAACAGAATTACTCTTTGTATTTGTAATTGTTAAAGTTCAGAATTTAGTAAAAAAAAAAAAAAAAAAACCTTGATTTATCCTACAGTGTTTATGGGTGTTGTCTAGAATACAGATCTGTTGACACAATGTTTTGATCACATGCATCAAGTTCTTAAAGGACCACTCTAGGCACCCAGACCACTTCAGCTTAATGAAGTGGTCTGGGTGCCAGGTCCTTCTAGGGTTAACCCATTTTTTTTTTATAAACATAGCAGTTTCAGAGAAACTGCTGTTTATGAATGGGTTAAGCCTTCCCCTATTTCCTCTAGTGGCTGTCTCATTGACAGCCACTAGAGGCGCTTGCGTGCTTCTCACTGTGATTTTCACAGTTAGAGCACGCAAGCGTCCATAGGAAAGCATTGTAAATGCTTTCCTATGCGACGGGCTGAATGCGCGCGCAGCTCTTGCCGCGCGTGCGCATTCAGCCCAGGAGGAGGAGAGGAGGCAGACAGCTCCCCGCCCAGCGCTGGAAAAAGATAAGTTTTAACCCCTTTCCCCTTTCAAGAGCCGGGCGGGAGGGGGTCCCTGAGGGTGGGGGCACCCTCAGGGCACTATAGTGCCAGGAAAACTAGTATGTTTTCCTGGCACTATAGTGGTCCTTTAAACAAGATATAGTTGGGTAAGCAATTCTAAGGTCATGTTAACACCATGCCAGAATACCTAAATAAATCACACTTTAACCCTCTTCCCATCCAAACACTCTCTTGGCATGCTGTTTTCATTCCCCCCCCTTTTTTTATTTTTTTTTTTCGGTGTACCATGGGGTAACTTATTTCTCCTTTAGCCGTGAATCCCCTAGCTCTTTATTATTATGTTATTTATATAGTGCCATAAAATTCTGCAGCGCTTTACAATGGGTGGACGAACAGACATGTAGTTGTAGTGGTTATCTGCATAATCGGATACCCCCCCCCCCCAGCCGTCTTTGCACAGAGAACAGTTTGTTCTTACTGTCCTGAGTACCCGTAGGAGGAAGGGGCCTGCTGTGTGTTTGGTGACAGGGCTGCTGAAAGTTGGGAAGCTTCTCCCTGCACATAAACAGCAGTGGAAAACTAAGCTGCCACGGGTTACACAAGTGAGATGTTTAGTCATGTTTTATATCATTGAAGCAATTGTAGGGAGCAACATATTTTTTTTTTTTTTTTTTAACACTTAAAGTAACATGATTAATGCAGCCCTGGTCATTTTTCCTCATGCTAGCAGAAGGTTTCGCAACTTGTCATTGTTGTGATGATATAAAACAGGCTTCGTCACGTGACCAGTAGCATTTAAAACAAAAGACTAGCAGACCAGAAACTGATTTATTAACCGTAGGTCACATGGTGGGATAAGATTTTTATTTTCGTTTATTTTTCTTCAACTTACCTACAAAAAGTATTAATCTTTTTAATCCTCATTTGCTAAACCTGGTGTTGATCAGTTTGTGTTTAAATTTTCAGAGTAGTTAAATTGGAACGCTAGCTGAGTGGGATGCATTCTGTGCTATTTTCAAAATATTTCTCAATTACATTGAAGAGCTGTCACTTCTCTGTAAACGATCGTTATCCGTTCACCCACACTCAGTGCCAAGGGAGTTAGATTCATTTACATGGTACTCTTGCTTATACCATGTAACGATAGAGTAACTGGCTTGTTGCAGATGCTTTCTACATTTTCAGAATCCCATTCAGGACATGGCGTGTAACCCCATGTTTCGTAGACCTTGCTAGTCATATTTTGCTTTGTTCTTTCTTGAGCAGTCATCAGATATTTAAAAATCTCAGTCTTAGTTCTGTGCTTCACAAAAACAGCTATAAAGTCCCAGTCAATCTGACTTTATAGGGCTTTCCTTAATCCTAGTGCTATCTGGGGAATGCAGTGCTGATCAAGAAACTATATTACAAAACACGTACATTAAACCTCTGTTTTGGCTTCACAGGGGCAGTACGACACCAGAAATTTTCCTCTGCACTGGGACAAATTTAAAGAACAGTTTTTGTGTGTGTGTCTCTCCCTATCTCCCCCTCTATCTCCCTCTATCTCCCTCTATCTCCCTCTATCTCCCTCTATCTCCCTCTATCTCCCTCTATCTCCCTCTATCTCCCTCTATCTCCCTCTATCTCCCTCTATCTCCCTCTATCTCCCTCTATCTCCCTCTATCTCCCTCTATCTCCTCTATCTCCCTCTCTCTCCCTCTCTCTCCCTCTCTCTCCTCTCTCTCCCTCTCTCTCTCCCTCTCTCTCCCTCTCTCTCCCTCTCTCCCTCTCTCTCCCTCTCTCTCCCTCTCTCTCCCTCTCTCTCCCTCTCTCCCCTCTACTCTCCTCTCTCCTCCCCTCTCTCTCCCTCTCTCCCTCTCTCTCCCTCTCTCCCTCTCTCCCTCTCTCTCCTCTCTCTCCCTCTCTCTCCCTCTCTCTCCCTCTCTCTCCCTCTCTCCTCTCTCTCCCTCTCTCTCCCTCTCTCTCCCTCCTCTCTCCTCCCTCTCTCTCTCTCCCTCTCTCTCCTCTCTCTCTCTCCCTCTCCTCCCTCTCCCTCTCTCCCTCTCTCTCCTTCTCTCTCCCTCCCTCTCCCTCCCTCTCTCTCGCTCTCTCTCCCTCTCTCTCCCTCTCTCTCCCTCTCTCTCCCTCTCTCTCCCTCTCTCTCCCTTTCATGATATCCTCCAAGCGACAACCTATAGTTGAAGCCTTGGAAGCCATCGCCCCTCGTACAGAATGAGATGAAAAACTCAATACATCAATCCCTGCTGTAGAAAGTGTGGCAAATCTAGCCACTTTAGGTCATATTGCAGAACATTTAAAGGTCTGAAATAGCTGTGTTAACATGGTGTAAAAATGTATTTGTGTGTTTTAGAATAGAGAGCATGCATAGGCTAACAGCCGTGAATAAAATTGTCAGTTGACTCCTGGAGCCGTGAATAAAATTGTCCGTTGACTCCCTGAACTGTGTTTCGTCCGGTTACTGGGGGATTTGGGATATTGCCTTCTTTTCCAGCGCTTTACTTTGGATTACCTTCTATACCAGCAGAGATCTTGGGATTTAATGTTGCAGCTCCGCTACAATTGGTGGCAAGCAACAGGATCCAACCTTACAGCCGAAAAGCGGTGTTCGGGTAATTGAAACTACCGAACAGGAAAGTGAATGGCAATTCGGATACAACAAAGAACCAAGAATGGAGCGTTACACCCCCACCAGCCATGGAAGAAACCCCCTTCCAAAAGGAAATGAGGACCAGGATGGAATTTTTACCCCAGCCAGTACCCCCTGATAATACTTGACAGTATTGATGGCGGATGTGCAGGAGTATGTGATGGCACACGGACCGCAGGATGCTCCTCCCAGAGCAGAGTCTATTACTGCTTCAGTCGTCAGCCAGGTAAAGCCTAAGATCCCATACCATGCGTTTAAAATGTTCTGTGAAGAGAAAGACGAGATTGATGGGTATCTATAAGCTTTGAGAGGCTATGTGACTTGCATGATTTGGAGCAGGCAGTGTGGGTACCTTTACTGGCAGGCAAACTGTCAGGTCGGGCAGCCGAAGCCTATCGGGCTTTACCCAGGGAGTTTCGAGGGTTGCGCAAACCAGATAGATTCCCACGCAGAGTGGGCCCACAAACTGGACCAAGCCTCCCAGGGGCGGATACAAGTCAGTCAAGCAACCACCATGGAGGAGTTACGGCAATTGCTGCTGTTTCAGTTTTTCAATGGCTTGTCCCCAGAGGCACAGGAATGGGTGAGAGAAAACCCCTCACCCTAACAGAAGCTGCAAGACTAGCAGACCAGCACTATGACGCCAGGAGGCATCACGGTAACCTCAACCGAGGCTACCCCTACTGCACCTACAGCAAACCCATTCCGGCCAACCCCGGAGGGGCACACTCCACCATCCAGGTATAATGGCAGAGCGAATATACAGTGCCATACGTGCAAACAATGGGGCCACATGGCGAGAGAGTGTACCCAGAACCGGAGCCGCCAAGCATGGAGCCAGGTACGGCAGAATCCAGCACCAAGAGCAGCCGCCCAAAACTACCAAGCCGAGCCAGCAACCCAGGAGATACTTTTTAATCAGACCCTGGGGATACTACACGATGTGATGTCGGTACAAGCCACAGGCAACACCAATGCCAGCTAGTAACCCTGGAAGGGAAAGAGGTCCAAGGGCTCCGGGATTCGGGTGTCACTCTGACTCTGGTAGCCCCTCATTTGGTTCCAGGCTCCACACACACCGGCGGATCTGTAGCAGTGCGAGTAGCAGGGGGAGCAGTATACAGATTACCCACCACAAAAGTACATTTGAATTAGGGTGTTGGGGAGGACATGGTAGAGGTTGGCCTGATGCAGAAACTGCCAGCGGATGTCGTATTGGGAAACAAATGACTTCGGCCTTTTCTGAAAGGGTAGTGGGGGGCAGGGGGATCTGTGAATGTGACTACTAGACAGCTAGTGGTCCCCCAGAAATATAGACAGGAACTTTTTTGGATCACTCACGACATCCTTATCTGGGGATGACTCTCACCCGATACTGCTTGACCCACGCCCTTTTCTGGCCGGGTATATCCAAGGACGTGCGGCAGTACTGCCAGACATGTGACATCTGTCAGAGAGTAGGCAAAAGGGGTGACCGCCACAAGGCCAAATTATGCCCACTGCCCATCATAGACGAACCATTCAGTAGAGTGGCTGTAGATATAGAGCCCTTACCAAAACCCAGTCCCTCCGGCAAGACATATATCTTGACCATAGTAAACTACGCCACCCGGTACCCCGAAGCAGTAGCCCCCTCTAATATCCACGCCGAGACAGTGGCCGAGGCCTTAATGAAAGTATTCTCCCGAGTGGGGTTCCCCCAGGAGATCATATCGGATAGGGGTATGCAGTTCACGGCCAAGGTGACCCACCAACAATGGAGAATATGTGGCATTAAACCTATTGTGAACTCTGCGTACCACCCGCAGTCTAATGGGTTATGTGAAAGGTTTAATGGGACGTTAAAGCAGATGCTCCGTACCTTTGGAGAGGCCTATAAGGATTGGGAGCGATTCCTACCCCATCTGCTATTGGCTTACAGAGAGGTACCCCAAGAGTCCACAGGCTTTTCTCCTTTTGAACTACTGTTTGGGAGAAGGGTGCGAGGACCTTTAGATTTAATTAGGGAGCACTGGGGGGGGGGGGGAAGTAGTACAGATGGGACACCATATGTGCTGGAGCTCAGGGACCGCTTGGAGGTACTAACCCAGACCGTACGGACCAACCTCCAGGCGGCCCAACAACGCCAGCGCCGCTGGTATGATAGGGGAGCCAGAGACCGCAGCTTTCACGTGGGACAGAAAGTTTTGATTTTAAAACCTGTTCACAATGACAAGCTGCAGGCCATCTGGCAAGGCCCATACCAGGTGGTGGAACAGAGATGTGACACCGCCTATGTGATTGGCCCCTGCTCAGGGACAGGGAAGAGACGCATGCTCCACGTGAATATGCTCAAACCCTACCATGAGAGGAAAGAGGACGTTGCGGCGATATGCACTTCAGCCTCTGAGGATCAGGAGAATCTTCCGCTACCTGACTTATTAGAGCGGGAAGATCAGGCAGAGGCCTCCACAGGTGTTCAGCTGGGGGAGCGGCTAAGTTCTCAGGAGCGTGCCCAGGTACAGGCGTTAATCGCTGCTAAGGGAGCCACTTTCTCCAATTTGCCAGGGTACACCCCGCTAGCTACTCACAGAGTTGAGACCCCCGGACAGCTACCTATGCGGCAGACCCCATACCGTATCCCGGAAGCGGTCAAAGAACATATGAGGAAGGAAATTGTGGAAATGTTGCAGCTTGGGCTTATTGAACATTCAGATAGCCCCTGGGCATCGCCGACCCGCAAAAACCTTCCTCGACAGGCTCAGTAACTGCCATAGATACCAGTTTGTATCAATCTTTAATAATATTGCCTTACGGCGTTCAGACGACATAGCCGTGTTGGCGTTACCCAACAGGCAAATCAGGCGTTGAACCCATCCTATAGCCATGTCGAAGTCCATGGCAGTCTCTCCCGCTTTAGCAGATTCCAATAGCTCATAGAGCTTAGATGTTGGGCCAGTCGTTTCTAGGAGTTTGTCTTGGCAATTTTTAAGTGCAAACTTCAGGCCCTTCTTGGCTTCCCAGCCCATTTTTCCCAAAAATTGGGATATCTTTGGGTCCACTTCTGGGGTCTTACAGGCCTCATCAGGCACGATAGGGCGGGGGCATTCAGCTCTGTTTTTGTCGTCCCTCCTTTGACAGAGGCGTGCGCGATCGCAACGCCAGGTAATTTGCTATATGCGTGCGTGGCTCCCACTCCACGGAATGCGGGTGACGTAGGCCTTCCGGGTCGAACAGGAGACAGGCTGTAGGTGGCAACAGCTGAAAAGCAGCTAAACACTGTAGAAAAAGCTGACAGGGGGAAACTAGGATTGAGTAACCCACACTATATAATCCTAATAGCACTGAATACTGATAAAATAGTGGTAAACTACTGACAGAAATAGATCTGGTGTATACCTTGCCGGAGGAGCCTGGAGCCGTCAGCCAGCGATGGAAGAAGAGAAACCACACAGGTTTTCAGCACAGAAAGCGCGCCAACGGCAGTATCCGGCTCCTCCCCCCCACAATGGCCGGGAGCGCACAGAGCCCACGGCCGGTTGAAAGCGTGAGAAACTCAGCCGCACAGGGAGAATACACTCCCGCGGCTAATTAGACCGAGCGTGGCGGCTCTCCCAGGGGAGGGGGAACCACTGGCTCTCAAATGTGGTTGTAAGCCGTGAGGGAGGGAGGCATAAACAAAGGGAGACAGGGGTAAAGAAAACACCCAGGGATGTCCCCCAAATCACCGGTATCACAAGCGTTTTAGAAAATAAAATTAAATAAAATACACCATTAATACTGAAGAAAAAATGGGTACTTATCTCTGAGGGAGCAGCAAGAAAGAGGAGGAGCAACAGATGACCGCTTCCTTTCATATGGACACTGAGACATTATTGGCTGCCACTGTAACTAAGCAGATTTAAATATTAATGTTTAAAGCTTTGTTAGTTTTTCTCTCAACTTTTCTTGCTGCTGAGGGAATAAATAAGAAAGAAAATGCATATATACTCTCCTCCGTGTTTATAATAAAATTATAAATCATGCAACATGTCTGTGTGGGTGATGACCCCACATGTCAAACTAAAAAACTACTGCGTATATCATTGATAACCCCACTCCTATAACAGCAAGATAAATGAGGAGATCCCTCTTAAAGGCATTTCTTCTGCTTTCCAGTACAGAAATTACAGCGCATACTCTGGTTACAAAACTAGACGTGCTGGCAGGACTATAGGAATGAAGTGATAGATGCCAGCCTGTCTACGACCCACTGAGTTGACATTAAAGCTAGGTAGGTGTCTTCGGGATGTGTTCCCGAGCAGGTCCACTCGCTTCCAAAAAGATTTAGAAGTAAGGTTGAAGCTAATATTTGTAGCACTTACAAATCCAGATCATGGCTGTAGCAAAGTACAATAGGCTGAAAAGAGACCTGTGTCCATCAAGTCAGCCTTCCTTACATCTGGTTTTTGCTGTTGATCTAAAAGAAGGCAAAAAAAAAAAAAAAACAGTTTGAAAAACTTCCAATTTTGCAACAAACTAGGGAAAAAATCCCTCTTGACCCCACAATGGCAGTCAGATTTATCCTTAGATCAAGAAGCTATTAACCCACAGTTGAAAAAATATCTTTTGAATATTCTGTTGCAAGTATGCATCTAGTTGCTGTTTAAAAATTGGCACAGACTCTGATAAAACCACTTCTCCTGGCAGAGAATTTCACATTCTTTTTGTTCTTGGGTTAAAAAACAACAACTTTCCTTTGCCTTAGACTAAATCTTCTTTCTTGCAGTCTAAACAAATAACCCTGGTGTCCTATGTAAAGTCATGTTTGTGAATAGATTTCCAAACACCGGATATGTTTCTGTTAGACAGGGCTTACAATTTCAAGTTCTACGCCAATAGCCAAGCCCTAAAATTTACTTTCCACTAAATATTCACACACCAATGGCTAGCCCTGGTTGATTTCTAAAATGAATTGTTAGTTACCGGTTTCCGATGACGTGAATCTGTAATCTGTGCAAAATACAGACTGCAGGAACGGTGCATACAAAAATATACAGGTTTAAACGTTTCATGGTTACTTAGAATCTCTTCTCTTGGCAAATAAAAATGGGCATTTGGGTCATGGCCATAACATGTTATGCCCACCATGGAGTCAAAGTACCCCAGTATCGGTGGGTCCTACAATCATCATTTTAACATGGCAGATAAACATTCCAACTGCAAATCTTACTGCTTAAACTGCTTCCAGTATCTCTTCAAATGTATGCTTGTTCTATCTGTGCCTCCCAATACCCCCTTTGACTTTGATATTTTTTTTTTTATTAACAAAAATCCTGTAACACAAAATAACTCCAGGGGTTTATGATAGATTCCATTTTGAAATCATGCTTAGAACCAATATTTGTAGAGAATTGTGAACCACTTACGGATTACTCCAAACGGTATTGAGATAAAGCCATACATTTCTCTGTAAACTATATTAACCCCGTAAGGACACAACTTCTGGAATAAAAGGGAATCATGACAGAATATTTCCATCATGTGTCATTAAGGGGTTAAAAATGTGTTTGACTGCAAGAGAGCACTGAATTATATGTGGGAAGAATAAGCATTATCTTTGCTTGGCTGTGTTGGTTACACTCAATATAGCAATCAAATTTGTTGAATGACTTAATTTTGGGAAGCAGCTAATAATGTGGCAAATCATAAATTCACTTACTTTATTGCAACATATAGGAAGAATGATTCCTGCTACTCTTCAGCTGACAATAGTAAACCTGTAATCTCTTCTAGTGAGTGGCTAAAGATCATGGAAGTTGTAGTCCAACTACAGGAAAGCTGCAATGTACATATGCCCTTATTTATTGTTTTTCATGCATCAGTGTTTACATGGGTCTTAGGAACGTCCTAGTAACCAGTGTTAGCTGTTCTTGGATGAGAATGTATAAATTGACTGTAAAACATAGTGCCTCCTCTGTGTGTTCAAATAACATACATCGTATTAGTCCAGTAGACAAGATGCCAAAATACCAGAGTATTGTGCAATGATACCTTTTAATTAAACTAATATAATATTCTCTCTCTCTCCTTTAAAATATGTTGGTTCAATAATACTTTGGATTTATATTGATCTCCTGTGCCATCAGTGAGGTGAATTTTTGCTCACTTAATTTCACTTACTAATTGCTAGTGGTGAGTATAAATTTAGAGCTCTGTATAGATAATTATTTGCTTTGTTGATACTATTCGGTACGGAGTATGTTTATGCTCATGTGTATTGTTTTTTTAATTTTTTTCTTTTTTTTTTTTTTTCTCTATTTTTGACAGGGGTGGCCCATCGGAGTCAGAGCAGTGAAGGAGTCAGCTCACTCAGCAGTTCTCCATCAAATAGCCTTGAAACACAGTCTCAGTCTCTTTCCCGTTCACAAAGCATGGATATTGACAGCGTGGCTTGTGAAAAAAGGTAAAAAGGGTTAATGGACTCTAAGTGCCCTATCCACTACAGCATGTTCAGTGGTTATGGTACAATGAGTCTGTGGGTGCCCGTTACCTGTTTACCAAGAAACTAAATCTAAAGCCCTGTATGTAGCTGTTTAACCTTGGGCAGCAATGGTGGGCTAACTCGCCTGCAAGACTCACAAACGATTATTACCGTCCAGGGTTGGTCTGCTTTGCGTAGAAATTGTGGATGCTAAACTTCAATTTGTATAAGGTGAGGGGACAGGCTTTGTGTGCCAGTACATCTCCAGTTTAAAACTCCTCGAATTGTTTGACCGGAAACAAGGGGATCTAACAAACCTTCTAGTAATACAAAAAGCTCTAGTGGTTATGTGCTTATAGTGACCACTTGGACTGTAGAAACTGGGGGGATATTACACGTTTCAGGGGACCTGTCTCGATCACACCTTTTATTACTGCAAACACTTAAGAGCTGTGGTTGTTGGTCATTTCATACCTCTGTAATTGGTACTGCCCTGTAGAGTTCCTTATATGTACGTGTAAGTCATTGTTGTTTTTGAAGGCAAATGTATGTCATCTGCATAAAATGTATGTTGTGTGCATACCAAAAAACTATTTCTTAAGTTCTGCAGTTTCAAGTTATTTTAGTAACTACACCTGACCAACTAAATATTTTTTTGTCCTTCTAGAGTACCTCTAAAAATATAATTAAAAGTTCTAAACATTCTTTTTGATATTGTACTTTATGCAGTGACATATTTTCAGTGATCAACAAGCCTCTCTTGCTGTGAGATAGTGTTTGATTGAATTTGTTCTGAATTATACCACACAAAATACAATTTATAATTAATCAGCTCCTTAAGAGTTGGTTTTTTAAAGGAATCAAAAGTTGTTTCAATTCTAGTGGCTGTTTTAAAATGTTTGGCATAGATCGATAGACGAGGAGGACTAGATGCTTGCCCTTAACTGCCTTTAGTCTAATATTTTTTCTGATGGGTTTTACTTTGCATTGGCTACCCTTGCACTACTGATATTCGGAAACTGTGCAGGTTGGGAGTCATGGTTAATGTATTACTTTGTCAAGATTAGGCCAACACCACTTTAGTGATTAATGCAGTTTTGGTTATAGTGTGTGTGTGTGTGTGTGTGTGTTGTGATAGTACAACATTAAATAATTATGTTCCCATTGTAATATTTTCCAGCATGTCCCAGGTGGATGTGGACTCAGGAATAGAAAATATGGAAGTAGAGGAGAGTGATCGCAGGGAGAAAAGAAGCCTCACAGATAAGGTATGCCATTTTCAATCCTCACCCATGTTTTCTAGGCTATTTTGGGAAAGAATTTTATTATTTGACCAGTGACAGCTGGCAGCGTTTTTTATTTTGGTTTTTCTTTTAGGAACCGTCTGCTGGAACTGAAGTATCAGAGGAGCAGTCCTTGCAGCTGGTCTGTAAGATCTTTAGAGTTTCCTGGAAGGATCGAGATAGAGATGTGATTTTCCTGAAGTCCCTTTCCTCTCAGTTTAAGCAGAATCCTAAAGAAGGTATTTTTCATTTTAAAGAACATGTTGTTTTCTTTTTTGCTTTTATTTTCTTCTCACTTATTAAAAATCCATGTCCCAAAATATGTGAGTGAATAAGTGAGATTGAAAATGTAAGGCCTGCTCATTGTAAGCAAAATCATGAGTAAGTACCTACGCCACGTCACGCACATCTCTAGCAAGCATGTGCATTACAACTTAAACATGCATGGAATTTGGATCTGGGTCAAGGCTATATTCTGCTTTCACATATGGTTTTACTCTTGTCTTAGGGCTCCATCAAGCAAAAATGCAATCTAAAAGTAGTCTATGCATTCTTAGTAACTGTATACAGGAAATGGACAGGTCTTTACAGTGATGTCATACATATGGCAATCACCACTGAGCCTTAAAGATTTCTTGTAAACGCTTCTTTTATTTTCACTTATGATATAATAAAGTATACAATTTATTGCTGTAAATACTTAAGTCTCTTCCTCTTTCCTTCTCTTAGTATACTCCTCTTTTAAGGACTTAATTGGCCAGATTTTAATGGAAGTATTGATGATGTCCACTCAATCAAAGGATGAAAACCCATTTGCCAGCCTCACTGCCACATCGCAGCCAATTTTAGCTACACGGATACCTGAGCGCACCCTAACGCTGAACACTGCATCCAATCCTGGCACTAGCCCCATGTTCTGTAACACTGGCTCCTTTGGTGCCAGTTCTGCATCCAGGCAAGTTCTACTTTATTTTAACTATTTTTTTTTTAAACACACTATGAAACATTTATATGGTTGAGAATAAAAAGGTTTTTTTTTTGTTTTTGTTTTTTTTTAGTTTGAGCAGTGTTTTTTTTTTTTTAATTATTTATATGTATGTGTATATGTATGTGTGTATATATATGTATGTATATGTATGTATATGTGTGTGTATGTATATGTGTGTGTATGTATATGTGTGTGTATGTATATGTGTGTGTGTGTATATATATATATGTATGTGTATATATATATATGTATATATATATGTATGTATGTATGTGTATGTATATATATATATATATATATATATATATATATATATATATATATATATATATATATATATATATATATTGATTCGGTTTCTCCCCTCAGGATTTACACCAAATTTCCCTGATAGCATTGTGAATTTAAAGATCCATTATCATTATTATTATCATCATCATCATTTTTTTATTTTCAATTCTTTATTTAGCATTGACATAATGAACTGACATGCTCAAAGTAATAAACCATGTAGTTGAATACAATGTGAATATAAACAATTGTTGGTTGCCGTTAGACATTATAGTTGAATAACATAGAATACAGAGCAGGGTTATCTTCCCAGGGGGCAGCTTTCCCATGGTTCCCATATTCTTTGGAAGGTCTTCTGGGTACCCCTCCCCCTGGCCGTCAAGTCGTCCATTAAGTAAACTTCCATTAAATGAACTTCTTTAATTCTATTGATTACCCCTGTTACAGAGGGAGCACTCTGCTTGAGCCAATCTGCTGCCACTGCTCTCCTTGCTGCTAGTGTGATTTTTGTGTATGCGTTTTTGCTCACTTCTGATCTTCTCGTCTATGGGTCTGCTTAGTAAGTATAGCCATGGGTCTGGGTCCGGGGCCCTGGAGAAGACCTGGTTCATTATGTCTCTAATTTGTGTCCAGAATTTGCTAATAACTGGGCACGCCCACCACATATGTATATATGTCCCTTTCATCCCGCAGCCCCTCCAGCACAGATCGGTAGGAGTTTTCCTCATGTGGTACAATTTGACAGGGGTGGTATACCAACGGAGCATTGTTTTTACTGATTGCTCCTGCAGGGTAACACAGACTGAAGAGGTATTATTAGCTTCCCATGTTTCCTGCCATTCTATTCCTTCCAATTCCTCCCCAAGATCACTCGCTCATCGCGTCGTGTAAGTGAGGTTCCCCCATTCCCTGGTTTCCGAGCAGAGATGGTCATAGAGGAGTGTTATTAAACCTTTGGGGGCATGTTTTCCTGCATACATATGTTTTCAAAGAACGTTTTTGTTTTCCGTGCTGCTACTTGTATGTGCTGTAATTTTGCATATTCCTTGAGTTGTAAGTACCGAAAGAAGTCGGCGGGTGTAAGATGGCCACTCTGTCTTAGGGTGTCAAATGGCACTATCTCTGTTCCCTGATACAACTGACAAATGCGTTGTAGACCTGCTTGCTCCATCATCGCCATTTATTTAGCGCCAACAGATACTGGAATGCTTTATAATATTATGAGAGGGGAGATTTAACTATAAATAGGAGAATTACAAGAAAATGCACAGAAACGATAGGTGAAAGAGGACCATTACAGTCTATAGGAGGTGGGGTGTAAAACACATTAGGACAGGGAATATCAATCAAATAAGGTTGGAGTGGAGGAGAGAGTAGAGTGCTGCCCTTTAGGAGAGAGCAAGAGACTGGTATGTGAGGTAGAGGTTACTCTAGGAGGCCATAAGCTTTCCTAAAGAGATGGGTTTTAAGGCACTTCTTAAACGATTGAAGTCTAGGGGAGAGTCTGATGGCCGTAGGCTATAGGAAGGGAGCCGCCCACGAGAAGTCCTGCAAGCGTGAGTTGGCCGTACGCGTACGATCAGCGGACAGGTCACGGGCAGAGCGGAGACACCTATGGATCTGTGAAGAGGTATAAGGGCTAGAATTGTTCAGTGCTTTATATGTATGGGTTAGCACTTTGAATTGACTCCTATAGGATACTGGAAGCCAATGTATGGACTGACAGAGGGGTGAGGTGTGAGAGGACCGACTAGAGAGGAAAATCAGTCTGGCGGCAGCATTCATTACAGACTGTAGCAGGGCAATACGGCTTTTGGGAAAACCAATCAGGAGAGGGTTACAATAATCCATGCAGGAAATTACTAGAGCGTGGACAAGCTCCTTGGTAGCATCTTGCCTAAGAAAGGGACAGATGATGCAGGTTATGTTTTTAAGATGGAATCTATGGGATTTGGCAACATACTGGATGTGAGGCTCGAAGGTGAGGTCAGAATGAAGTATGACGCCAAGACAGCGCGCTTGTAGGGATGGACTTATGTGGATATCACTAACTTGAATGGAGAGCAAGAGTGGAGGATCAGTATTGGGAGGAAAGACAAGGAGCTCAGTTTTACAGTTTCTTCTACCCTTTCCCTCCCTCCAGCAGCACTCCATATGTACACTTTTGTAGTAAGCCATAAAACACATTTTCTAGATGACCTTTTCCTGATTAATGCAGCAAGCATTTTAAATACCCCCAGACTAGGTTCTTGACTTGTTGCTAGTCTGCACTGGGGGCACACCTTTTATTGCAGTCCATCTAATCCAATTGTTCTTAAAGGAACACTCTTGTCACCTAAAGCACTTTAATTTGCTAATCTGCTTTAGGTGTAATAATCCCTGTATCTGCAGGCTTTTTTAAATCGAAATCTGCACTTTTATTTTTGTTTGTTTCATAAACCCCTTTTATCACACCTTCCCGGCTGTAGATCAGACCTGTAACACATCTTATTGAGAAATTTGTGTGACCAGTCGTGGAATTGCACAAGCTGTCCTTATGGGTTCTCCTACTTTATGTACATGGCAATTTGCTTTGTTGACTCATTGTTTGAATTTAATGTTCGCTTAGAGTTCTGTTGTAGGCTGCAATAAACATTCTGATGTAGGCGGTTACCTGTGGCTTGGGGATTCTGATGTGCATCTTCCAACAGTTTGTCACCCAAAAGTTATGTTACCAAGTCTTAATGTTAATACTTTAGTTCCTTTCTAGGTTAGATTTTCATGTTGGTAACCCTTATGTCTACATAGCTATGTTACCTATGGCTCAAAGACTTAAAAGTTAAAGGACCACTATAGGCACCCAGACCACTTCAGCTTAATGAAGTGGTCTGGGTGCCAGGTCCCTCTAGGGTTAATCCCGCCTGCTGTAAACATAAATTTCTCTGAAACTGCTATGTGTACAAATGGGTTAATCCAGCCTCTGGTGGCTGTCTCATTGACAGCCGCTAGAGGTGCTTCCGCGCTTCTCACTGTGATTTTCACAGTGAGAAGACGTCAGCGTCCATAGAAAAGCATCGATAATGCTTTCCTATGGACTAACTTCCCGCGTGGCTCTTGTCGCGCATGCAGCCAATGACGTCAGAAGAAGGAGAGTCCCAGCGCTGGAAAAGGGTAGGAATTTAACCCCCTCCTCACCCTAGAGCCCGGCGGGAGGGGGACCCAGAGGGTGAGGGGGACCCAAGCACCCTATAGAGCCAGGAAAAAGAGTATGTAACTTGCTACAGTCAAATATCATTGGTCACATTTTTTATTCTCACATTCATATTTGAGATGTATATAAGTAAATATGTGCAGGAAATGCATAGTCTAGGTGACTTTAACCCCTTAAGGACCAAACTTCTGGAATAAAAGGGAATCATGACATGTCACACACGTCATGTGCCCTTAAGGGGTTAAAGGAGTTTGTAGTTTAGAAAGGTGCTTTGTGTATACATTGACCTGCTTTACATAATCTAAAAAAACTAATATAGTTGACCTTTGAGACATTAAATTATAAGTACTTCTGTATAAGCATTCTCTAGTTTGAGATAGTGATCAGGTACCTTTTTAGATTTTATATGTATATATGTATGTATATTGTTTTGTTTGTTGGTATATCGGGGCTGAATACCATAGTCTATACAGCCCTGTGTTGTATTTTAAGAATGGATTCTGATACCTGTAACATTTGGCCACATTTGGTGACTTATACACAGTCTATTAACAAAGCTTAATTGCTCATGGAATAAAACTGTATTATGGTTCATTTCTTTGTTGCTAAGCAACGTCTCCTTTCACAAATTCGGAATGATCCTTATCATTTATAGTGCTAACATGCTCCTCAGCACTTTAAGCAAATAAAAAAACAAAAAATATGACTAGTGTTAACAAGCAAAGGCCATTAAAGAGGGTACAGGTTTACAATCTAGAATATCTGTGATCTTTTCTGTATACCGGACACAGGATATTTGGTTAAATGATTGATTAATGAATACATTCTAATGGTAGGAGATCTACAGAGGGCCTGTTTTGCTTGATGCAGCAGAACAGCCTGTACATCCTAATAATCTTTATTTTGCTAAGCCTTCTGTCTAACTTTAAAAAAATAATTTTTTTTTCCTTTTTTTTTTTTTTTCCTGTGTTTAGTCTGTATGCATTTAGTCCAGATAGTGGCAGGTTTCCTGCTGGCACACCACTAGCTGGTGGTTCACCTGTCTTTTCAGTACCTTCTGTCAACCCACCCACAGCAGGGCAATCTATTCCTGGAAACCCTCAACCTGGTCAGGCACGCCCGTCAGGTGCTCAAGCCGCATTGCCACAAAACAGCTTGTGCACTGTCACCCACTCAAGGCCAATGCCTATTCCTTCCAGTTCAAGATCTCACAGCATCTCTCCTGTTATGCATATATCGCCAAGCCCTCGAACGTCTGTTTACAACTCTCCTAGACAAAGATCTGCAGCCTCAGGTGTACCCCTCTATTCACTGTCTTCTGGAGTCTCCCCAAGACAAAGGAGAATTCCGTTGAGGTATCTTCTCAGCAGAACATGTGCATGTGTGTGACATTTCCTTATACTGCTCACAGGTTTTAACAGCATGCCTTCTAGATCACTTAACACTAAGCTGCCTTCTTTTGTTCTTAGATAATGCAGAGTTTAAGACCAATAGTTATTTTGCAGTCTTAACCAGAATAATCTGTAGGCCTGTGTGTGTGTCTTGGATGGTTCTCCATTAAACTAGAACACTCAGCAGAGGTCCTTCTTCAAATTATATTTGTTCACAATGTGAAACAAAGCCCTTTGGTACTAGTAGGCCAGGTTTGTGTGTTCCATGATAGAGCTATTTTCTGGTCAGCTGGTTTTTGACTGATTACATTTTAACCTTGTTTAATGTCCTATATTTTTGTTTATTTGCATTGATGTATTTTTTTGTGTTGCAGCATCTGATCTTCATCTTCTTGTTGATTACAGATGCACACTGCCCAAGTGTGCCTGTTTAGGATGGACAGTCCCTATTTCATGCCATAATCTTTGTTCCACTTTTTCTATCCTAATGACCCTATTATCTTAATTGCAATACATATTTAGAAATCAATCCTTGTAAATGACATACTGTGGTCCTTGTTCTAAGTTACAGTTTCAGTTTAATTTATTATCAGTAAGTTGTATCATATAAAATATCACAGAATCTATCCACTGTGGTCACACCTTCAGCCAGAGCTGGATTGAGAGTCCGTTGGGCCTGACAATTATGTTAGGCCTAATTACAGCAGTTTATCGACTGCAAACCCTAAAACAGCCATACCTCACTAGCATTGCGTATCTGGTGCTGGAGGGAAAATCACCCGAGGCAGTTATAAGAAATCCCATACCCTGTGCTAATTTCTCAATTAAATTAATTCCCTAATAGCAGTGTCCGGTGAAGCTGGACATCGGTGGATGGGGTAAATGTGTGGGCCACTGGCGTTAATCACATGACTGCCACCACCCAAAAGGGACAGACATGCCCAGAAAGGGGGCGGGTCTGCCGAAGAATTGTAAGGTCAGCCTGTCATAAATTTATGCAGGCTAGCCAACTAAGGGCATACTATGCAGACAGCGCCCTGATATTGACGCAAATGCTAGTGATGTGATTGTTCTAAGCTCCATGGGGACTGTCCCCAGAACTCTCTTGTCCACACCACTCCTTACCTTCTTGCTAGCCGGCAGACGTTCCTGGTATTCAGTCTGGGACCAAGAAAAGGTGGATGTGGTGAGTGCAGAAGGAAGGGGACATGTCAGTGTTAGAGACTGAAGCAGCAAGAACATTTACACAGTGCGCAAAGTCACCTTTATCTTAACTAATTTAATTGTCAGTCCACTCAAGTTGTGTACGCCTACATCCCTTTTAAGTTTCCATAATAATGTACTCTGAATAAAACAAGAGCATGTAAAGATATAGAATATATTATTTTTTTTTTTGTTATCAATGGGCCTGTTCCATAGCCTCCGGCATAGAGTCCAGCTCCATCAGCTCTTAATGTCAGTACGGCCTTGCCGTCAGCAACACCCTCGAAATGAAAGTGTCCCTGTTTGGCTGTTTAAAGTGTTAAGAGGTATTAAGATGCACTATTGATGTGTTGTGGTATGTGTTGCCTATATATATCTGGGTGAGTGATTTGTTTTATTTTTTACTATATGAACCACACTTGTGGAATCAGAAAACCTATAGCAGCAGTGTAACATGCAATGGATTGACTGTGGATAGGCTTGTGACTGCTGACGTACAGCTAGAGGTCTTTCCTTTCAGTATAAAGAGAATTGTAGCTAATCTTTTTGAAACTAAGCTTCAGTTACATGTTCTAGTTTGTCTGTTTTAAGAGACTGTACATTTAAAGGAACACTATAGGGTCAGGAACACAATCATGTATTTCTTACCCTATAGTGTTAAAAACACCATCTGCCCCTACCACCACCTTCCTAAATTTAGTAAAATCTTACCTTTATTGCAGTCTGCTGCTGCCTGCCATGCCCCTGATCTGCATGCTTGGTTGACTTCATCAGAAGTGGTGATCTCAGCCAATCACAGTGCTTTCCCATAGGAATGCACTGGATTGGCTGCAGATCAGGGGCAGAGCCAACACATGTCAAACACAGCCCTGGCCAATCGGCATCTCCTCATAGAGATGTATTGAATCAATGCATCTCTATGGGGAAAGTTCTGCATGCGGAGGGTGAAGACACTGGCTGTCAGTCACTCACACTGTGCAGCACTGCCCCAGGAATCACCTCTAGCAGCCATCTGAGGAGTGTCCAGTGGAGGTATCACTAGACTGTAATGTAAACACTGCCTCATCTCTGAAAGGACAGTGTTTACTGCAAAAAGCCTGAAGGTAATGATTCTACTCACCAGAATAAATTCAATAAGCTGGTTCTGGTGACTATAGTGTCCCTTTAAATATATAGGCTTTGTATCTATTTTATAATCCAAACTATTAGATCTCTTCATAAGGGGATAGGGATAACAAGACCAATTTTTTTCAGTTTGGCTAATTTTTCCTAAAATAAGAAAATCAGTTTAACTTCACTTTCACTTCCTCACAGTTGACAGCTTAAGTAATAACCCTGAATTTATTACTAGGTCAAAGAGCTAGCTGTTGTAAAACTGCAACTCCCATTATGCTCTGTGCGCCTAAAGGGTGAGAAAGCATGATGGGAGTTGTAGTTTTCCAGCACCTGTCACTGCAGGTTCTACATGTGCTGTCCAGGTTCTGCCCTCTCACCCCTACTGCTGCTGCTCTCCTCCCCCAGGCCAGCAGGAGGCAGGCTGTCGTCTCCCCCATATACAGGTGTTTTCTTTTCCCAGTGGAGGTTGCACCTGCCGGGGATGTTGGGTGGGGTGCTCACCCAGTGCTGGGACAGGTCCCCTGAGGAGCTGAATTACCTTGCCAGGAAGCAGAGCTGGTAGTCCTCCCCTCGGCCCCCCGGTACCCCAGCCCATCAAAGCGTGTGTTTGTTTATTTTTGCTGCGTGGCTGCATGCTCTCTGGGCCAGCTTCACTGGCAGAGTCTGTCGTCAAGGCGGCCTCTCCCGCATCACATGAGCTCCTGCCTTCCGCAACACCTGCCAGACAGTGCGCTGCAACACCACGATTGCAAATACTAGAGAACGCGGCTCATGGCTTGTCCTGTACGTGCGCTGCACGTTTGACGGTCAGATAAGTAGTTTATATAATATATACCTCGCAGCTCACTGTGCTGGGTTTCTTATTGTGGGATCATATGTGGGACCCGATGTCTGGTCCTTTGCTGCTATCCCGGCTTAAAAAAAAAAAAACATTCTGCCTTGGGGGGGAAGGTGGCGGTAAGGCTGTTATTTTCAGCACCTTTGGCCCATTTTTGGTCAAACTGGGATAGGCCCACTTTCGGCTGAATATTTCGGTGCATCCCTAATTGGGTTAATGCATTGTGGCCTACTTGCTATGTTTTGCAGATTTTTGTATTTCTAAGTCATTGCATGCTTGTTGTTTTACTATATAGGATATTGTATGGTATAACTTTGGTATCATTTTGTGAGGCAGATTGTATAGATACATATTGGCATTTGTGACCTCTTACATGCATGTTGCCTTTTGTTATGATTTGTATTTGTAATTTACACAGTGAAGACGTCTTACAAAAAATGTTGACAAATTGAAATTGAGTTGAAATTGCATGTAAAACGATTATCTGTTAGATCTTCCGTTTTATCCTTAAATGTTTGGTTAATAGCTGACCGTGTATTTCATATTTGTCTCGGCAATAGTATGGTGACTGCTCAATGTGATCTTATCTTCCTGATTTAAAATATAAGAAAATCACAACTGTTTATGTGGGTAAAATGGTGTGAGGAATGCCAGTAGTTTATTTTTTGGGGTCAGGGGAGGGGATTGGCCACCGTTTACCTGCAGAACAGTGCTATCTATCTCAGCATGCAGTACTTAAAGTACATTTGTGTTGTCAGTCCCTAGACTTTCTTTGTGCATGTGTTCTCCGGAAACACCAGATTTGAAAAATTTGATAGATCACAATTATTCTTAGATACTTGCGGAATTATTCATTTAACCTGGAACTGTGGAGAATAGGCAAGGAAATTAAAAATTATAGGCCACAATAGCAGAAACTTGAAACGTCTAGCTCTGCTTTTATGGCCTATAATGTAAAATGTTCTTGTCAATTCTCCACAATTTCCTTGTGGTTCTGTTTTCCATGTGCTAATTCCCTTGTTCTCATGTTGTATTAGTATGTATGGCAGCAGCCCCATGTCTCCACTCTTCCTCACCCGTACTGATGAGGCTGTGGACAGCAGTGATGAGGAAAATTCTGAAGAAGATTTTTCTAGTGTCCAGTTTGGGTCCAGGTATTGGGAATGCCGTGACTGTGGCATGTTTTACATGAGCAGGGCTGAGCATATTGCACACATAACATAATCTGTACTAGATGAAAGAGAAGCATTATATGTATAGAATATTTAGATTTGAATACGCTTTACTCTGCTGTGTGTTGACTTTGCTGATGGCTTTGAAAGGCTTGTTCCTGGTTTGAAGTGCTCCAGGGAGCATGGAATGAGGCGAGTCCATTGAAATGCCTGATTTGCTGTAGTGCTAATGGTTTCCTATAGTTTGTTGCTTACGGTTTGTGAGTGCTGGCGTTAACTGCATATTAATTGGCATATAGTGGGGGTGCTCACTTTGGTTATTTTGTGGAGATTTATTTGGTTAGATGATGTATATAACTTTCATTCTTGCAACATTTTAATAAAGGCTTGAGGTTTTATTTAATCAAATCTTCTATAGAGTGAATACCACGAAGCGGAGAACGTCTGCAGTGATCACTGATTACCCCTGAACACAACAGAAGCCAAAATGATACTAATAAAGCCAGTCTAATTTTTAAAAAGTGCAGTGACAATATATAAAAAAATTTAAAAAATGAAGTGCGTTGTCCCTGTCTGCCTATAACCTGGAAGTGTAGCTAAGGTAAATATTGATAACTTCCTTGTAGCCTTACCGATTCATACCTTAATGGTCACTGTGATAGGCTGAAAGCAGTCAGCTGATAGTCTTGGCCAATCACAGCCACCCTTCTCAGGATAATGCTTCCTCATTAGCCTGACTAGCACAGTGGCATGGGTTTCTGGGAAACAGTTTAATACTGAATAAAAGGATGGCACCAGGGGACTCCAAACACTAGCCACTTCACTAAGGTAGGTGAATTACAGTGCCTACAGTGTCCCTTCAAACATCATAAGGCAACTGTAGGCAGCCGCCTAAGGCGGTGTAGTTAAATAGGGGCACTATGAACTATAACTTTACAACATTACCATCCCTATGGGAATCATGAAGGGGGTGCGTGGGACATTAGTCCTTTTCTGCTGTTGACACATTTCTTGCTTCTTGGGCTTGCTTCCAAAATTCTTAATTAATCAATTCTGTTTATTATTATTTGCTTGCAGTATCAGAGGCCAGCTTCATTAGCGTTGTGGGAGATAATTGATGTACCATGTTTTTCTGCATTTTTCAATTAACTTGTAACAAACTTGATTTTGCACTAAATGTGGTTTCTAGACTAATTTATTTACTTATTGTTTGTGTTCATGGTCCCTGGTCCTAGCAAACAGAGTTGAGCGCTTTCCATTGGGGTAACCATGGCAGTCCAATCCCAGATGCAAAATCCCAATCCAGAGGATAAAGAAAAATAAAATGACTATTATTTATGTTTCTTTGTAGTGGGACAAGTAGCACAGAGTCCTATAGTGATCACTTTACAATTGAAACTTGCAAAGAGACCGAAATGCTAAACTACCTCATCGAGTGTTTTGATAGAGTGGGGATAGAGGAGAGAAAAGCCCCAAAGGTGAGTACCTCTGCTGCGGTTATGAGTATGTATTTGCACATTCTCTGTGGCTGGTAACGAATACAATTAAATTGTTTTTTGTTTTCCCCCTTTCTCCTGTCATCACAGCTTTGCAGCCAACCAGATGTGAGCCAGCTTCTGAGCAGCATTCGATCACAATGTATTTGCCATGCTGCTTTGGTGTTACAAGGAGCACTCACACAGCCAAGGTAAATACTTTTCACTACTGCCACCATGACACACAGCGTCCTATGGAAATTTGACAGTGAGTTTTCAGGACTTACCTTAGGGCGAGGGTGGCCTCAAAGAAGTTTCCCAGTTGTTGCAGAGCTGTTATCTCCCATGATTCTTTCTCAGTCTTTCGGCTATTAAAGCAGCAGAGGACTTTCTGTCCTGCAATCAATATAGGTCTGCCTTTTGGCCACCAATATTTTTGAACATTCGTAAAACTGTAGCAAGATAAATAATCCTTGTCTGTGATCTAGGTGATAAGGTGTTTAGTTTTTTTTATTTGTAGAGGTTTGGGTAAGGAATGCGATATTCTGTACTGTGCCATAGGCAATCTTGCGGTTTGGTTAATAGTAGGGTTGTTCCTTGACCAAACTATTGTAGTTTTAGAAGCCATGTGAGCTAATGTGTATAAATGGGAGGCGTTTAGATATATATCTGTTAAATGCAAATATGAAAATGACATCACTAATGAGCACAATTAGTAAGAAGGCTGTTGCATTGAAACCTTTTATATTGAGCACTTAATGTATAAAAGCAGCATATCTAAGCGTTGCATGATACCATGATGTGGATAACGTGTTCAGTAGTGAGCTCTTTCCATCTCTTTACTGTAGGCCTGCACAGCAGCCGTCTCTCTTGCTGCCCTACATGCTTTGCAGAAACCTGCCATTTGCTTTCATCCAAGAGCTTGTGAGGGCCACATATCAGGATGAAGACGTGTTTAAGCAGGTAAGAATGCATGAATGGAAATACTTTCTAACCTGTGTATTCTGTATGTCTGCTCATTTATTCACCAGTTACATTTGGAACTTTGGGGTTGTGAATGCTGTATCACTTCAGCTCTCTTTGCTTAAAGACGAGTTTTTGGCGTAATATAAAACCTCTTTATTTTGATTGACATATGAGCACAACGGTTTTTAAATTTATTGTACAGCAAAATTTCCAAGAACGTCAAAGTTTTGTTTGACTTCTGAGCCATCACATTTGTGTTCTGTGCGAATAGGTTATTTTTCTCTTCTGCTTCGTATAGATTTTTATTCCCATTCTTCAAGGCTTGGCTCAGGCTGCTAAAGAGTGTTCGTTGGACAGTGATAACTTCAAATATCCCCTGATGGTAAGGAATCTGCATGGTGGTCCTGGTCATTTCACTGTGTCTTTATTTGCTGCTCTCCCTCTCCACACGTTGGCCGTTATTATTAAGCTCTCTTCCTTTCAGTGTGGGAGAATGTGAAGAGTATAACAGGGTGAAAACATAACCCATGGATATGAAGTAAGGTTGGCCAGTTAAGGGGGCATATGGGTCCCCAGCAGGGCTTTAAGAGTTGCCCGATCCCATGACGTCCAAACCACCTCCTATTTCTCAAAGGTTCTTGCTGTTTTGTGTGACATAGCTTCGTACATTTTTTGTTGTATTTAAGGTCATTAGTGCATCAGAGTTAGTGGTGGTAGGGAACTTCCAAAGTGCAAACTTTCAAAGCAACCATAAAATGCATCATGATAGTAATGGCATGTTCAAGTAACACATCTGGGAGCATGTGTAATATAAATGGGTATTGGGTTCAAATGGTAGGGCTTTCTGGTAAGAGACTGGAAGGTCTCCCTAAAGCAGCCCAGGAAGAAGAAAAAAACGTTATTGAGAACAATCGCTTAGCTTGTGTCACTAAAAATAGCCCCAGCTGACTAACTGGTGGGTTTTAATCCTGCTCACACTGCCATCTTTATATATGCATTTAAATACCTATTGGAAGAGCTGCTTGCAGTACTAAATTCCAACGCTTTGCCCCAGCAGACAGGGTATCAGTAGGTATCTATAGATGTCTAGTGTGATTTAACCCTACTCACACCAAATCAGCAGGACGTTACATGCCTTCCTACAGGCTTTTGTGCCCAGTCTGTGTAGGACGGCTTGGAACATCCTAACCGTGGAAAGGGGTTAAACATGTCTGCAGGGCAATTTTTTACTATTATTGCAGCTTTCCATTTTCTCTAAATGGTTAAACTTGCCCACAAATCATACAAAACTGTTCTGATTATTCATAAACTATGATTTTGGGTCCAAATACTGAAGGCAAAGAGCATTGTGGAAACCAGTTGAATGTGTCTGAATTTTGCTTCACTTTTTTACAATGCCCTTTAATTTTTCCACTTGTTTTCTTGTGTGTTAAACAAAAGGCAGAATAGTTGTGTGTGGAAGATTAATGCTTGTCGTAATTTGCCTGGATATTTGCTAATATTCTACTCTTGGTTTTAGGCATTCGGTGAGCTCTGTGAAATAAAGTTTGGGAAAATTCACCCAGTCTGCTCTTTGGTAAGTTAAAAACCTTCCAAAATTGCAGAAATCCCTTATGCCTGACTGCAAAATAAGAGTTTAAAACTTCCTTTACTTTCAGGTGAAGTGTAATATTCTGACAAATATAGGGACCATGTTCTAGTTTTGTGCTCTAACTATTATTTAAGTGGGAAGAACTGGTTCAAATAAATGCACAAGTGGAGAGATTCTGACAAATGTCATCAAATATAGCTTAATTTGTTCCATTATCCAGAATTAATTAAATTAAAACGTTAAAGTAATCTTATCATAACAGGTTCACTTTAAGTAAAATCTCATCCACTAGATATATTTTACCTCTGTGATAGATCATGGCTTTTATCGTTTTACGAAATGATAAATATTCCTTATCCAGATTTGCCTGCAGGAGGGTTCTCCTGCTCCCTGCTGTCACTCTGTTCTCTGCATAAATTCTGTCATTGGTACAGATTTTGCCAAGTAGTTGGTTGACTGGTAGTAGGAAGGAATATATATATATATATATATATATTCCCTCTTACTCACTCACTGGCGTGTGTGTGTATATATATATATATTCTACCTAATCTAGCAGTTCTGCTTCACATTGTAGCACCTTGATTCTCTCATTTAAAATATATTTTTGTGTATCATGACGGGTACACATTTAAAGTAAATTCTAATCTACATGCTGAGTGACCGTAAATTGCTTATTTTCATTTTGGGCATTAGATCACATCCTTGCCTTTCTGGTTACCCAAACCACTGAGTCCTGCCACCGGACGGGAGCTGCAGCGCCTTTCCTATCTTGGTTCATTTTTCAGTCTCTCAGTCTTTGCAGAAGATGATGTAAGTAATGATTTGGAAATATTTTGAGCACTGTATAGAAATCATAATCATCCCAGTAAATTTCCTAATCCTTGGTTTGTTTTTCCTGTCTTCTCTCTCCAGAATAAAGTAGTTGAGAAATACTTTTCTGGACCAACAATAACTCTAGAAAATACCAGAGTGGTCAGCCAGTCTTTGCAGCATTACTTAGAGTCTGCACGGGTAAGGAATCTCAGAGCCATTTTAACTAAGGGAAATGGACTGTTCTAAAGCAAGCATGTCAAACTCAAAGTCTGGCACTGGCCACATAAACAAGGTTTAAGTTTATGTGGCCTGCTAAAAAAAAACAACCTTAAATTTTCATAGAAACGTAGGTTTATTTAAAAAAAAGTACAGTATAAAAAAAAAAAAAAAAAAAGCACCCCCCTCTACCACCCTGTGCCAAATCTGATCCTCCCACTACTTCACAGACCCACTCACTCGCGCTCGCTGGCACGCGCTCGCACGCACGTGCACGCACTCACTGACTGACATTTAAACATTTCTTGCACTCACATAATTTAATTTATTGTTCCCCATCTTTGGGAGCTGGTGTGGGGATCTTCTGTCTGGAGATTTCCTTCCTTCTCCCTCACGCGGCTTAGTGGTGCCGGAATGACGTCATATTCCGCCGCCCGGCTTCACTACAGACGGCGCACGAGGAAGCACTGAGGAGCAGTAACACTGAGCTCCCTGGCCAACCTCTCCGACCGGGTAAGTGTTAGCAGAGTAGGCACTTGAAATGTGGGGAAAGCAGGTGCCTACTCTGCTATAACACCAGCATGTACTTGCAGCTCGCCGGGCTGCAAAGATGGTCCTTGTGGGCCGCGAGTTTGACATGCTTGTTCTAATGAATCATCGAGGTACAAGTACAACAGATACTGCCTGCATGGTAAACTGCAGCATAAACACACAAAATTTAAAGACCAGTGTATTAAGTTGTCAGAACCTTCCACCCATTGGGGACTGAGTGAAATATCATGGAAACTCCATTTGGGGTCCCAAGTAAAGGATTAATAACCTGCTGCTTGATACAGTGTGCACATTGTTATTGACACTATACAATTATCAGAGCATCTTTAGTTTTTTTTGGTCCATTGGTTTGATGTTCTTTCTGCAGCAAGACTTGTTCAAGATTCTTCACAGTATTCTGCTTAATGGAGAGACCAGGGAGGCGGCTCTGAACTACATGGCGGCTCTAGTGACTGGCAACATGAAGAAGGCACAAATGCAGGTAAATCTAATATCTGCCTCTACTGAGGGCTCTTCCATAATGCTATTTAACAGGGAATGAAGTACACATAGAATCCAGTTGTGTTATATAAAAATAATCCCGGTTAATGTAAACCATCACCCTTCCTGGTCATATTTTATTTATTTTTAGATCTATGGATCAAACCTTAAGCAGCAATGCATTGCGAGTGTTTGTTTTTTGATAGTGGTCCATCCTTAACTGGTTGCTACATGAAGTAATGTTTGTGTCTTTTTCCTATGTTTTAAAGGGTAATACAGACATACACCTGTTGCACACAATGCCTAGAGGGATATAAGGCACACGTAAATAATGAGATTGTTGTGTGGCTGAAGCCATTATCTGTGGTTACTGTGTACCTACTGTGCAAGCAGAACCTGGCTGATGTTTAGGTTCTTGACTGCCATGTGTGAGGTATCAATTGCCTTTGTAATGGCATAAGTGAACTAACAAAGTATGTCTGAGACCTGAGCAGGGACTAACCCAAGGGACGGTGTATTAACACCATGACAACAGGGGGTCAGGAAGATTCCCAGCATGGAAAGCGTTTACTGACCAGTCATCTGCCGTGAAGGTTTAAAGCATTACATGCAATTTATTTATTTTGTAAGGGAGGATGGATCCCCTTCATCTTGGATCTAATGGTTTATCTATTGTTGGTGATCCTCTGTTAATGGGTCACTACAGGTTTAAACGGATGCTATTTTGTTTTTTTTAATTGATAGCTTTATTGATTTAACGTATTGTATACAAATCCAAAAATACATGTTAATATAAATATTAAATATAATATAAAAAAAGCGCTACTTTCCCTGGCAAATCGAGCAGATTCAGAGTGTCGGTTTATCCTGTTTTCTCTGTGCAGCACTTTGTAGCAATTCCATTCATCATTTTGGTAAATGGGATCGATTCGCAAATTGGCAGGAGCTGTACCATGGCTGCTGTGAGCTTCTGAGATTTGACTGTAGAAAGGAAAAACCTTAAGAGTTGTCTCTTCTGTTAAAAGCTTTTTATTAGCCCTCCCTTGAATGTTATCTCATTGCTCTTGTCCTTTGTGAAATTTCACTAGTGGACTGATAAATCCCTCTTACCTTTCCCTTTATTGAAGTATTATAAATTCCTTCATCTGGTGTGGTGGTCATTAAACCCCCAAAAAATGCTCCAGTTCAAGTGGTTTCCTTCTCCACCTATTATAGACAGATGACCGACTGGTGTCAACTGATGGATTCATGCTGAATTTCCTCTGGGTACTGCAGCAGCTCAGCACCAAGATCAAGTTAGAAACTGTGGATCCAATGTACATCTTTCACCCTAAATGCCGCATTGCTCTGCCGAATGATGAAACCCGCATCAAAGCAACAATGGAGGAAGTAACAGCTTGGATATCTGAGCGCAGTATGTACCCTGGCTCCGTTTTATTGCCTTTGATTTCGAGATGTGTGTTAATGGAGATTTAATTAAGAACAACTCTAGTTGTTAATTTAGTATAAATAGTGCAGAAACTGTTCAGAGTTTCAAGTTCTGCCATTTTCTGTAACTTAAACATACATAAACTAATTTGTATCAGTCAGTCAGCATAACTTTAAATTGTCTTACATTTTTATTATTTTCAAAATGACCGTGTACAATCCAGGATGTGGACATGGCCAGTTTATACAAAAAATATATCAAATATTTTAATGGTGGCTGAGATAAATTATGGAGGGAACAAAAAAACATAACGTGATGAAGTTTACACAAATTATAAAATTTTTAAAGAAGTAAAGGCTGTTCTTTTCTGTGCTAAAGACATCCTGGTCGGTGAATAATAGTCATCTCTGTGGGACACCATTGCATCTAAAACAGTGGGAGTGCTGTGGTTCATAAACCTCACTGACGGTCGGACTTTCTATATCTGCATTAACCGTGAATTGATATTAAGAAGCTTAAGATAATATGCTGTTTTTTATATTTGTTAACACTCTTCTAGATCAAGATCCAATGTTTTTTTCTGAGCCCAAGTTCCCAACTGAATGCTTCTTCTTGACTCTGCATGCTCACCACCTTGCCATTCTTCCAAGCTGCCGGCGCTACATACGGCGCCTGAGAGCCATCCGTGAACTGAATAGGTGAGCGACACTGCCTTCACTGCTCCTTTTTTTTCTTTGTGTTTTCCCGCTTTATAATCCTTAAATCTTGGGCAGCAGAGTCTGCGTGACTGTTACGTCTTTCTCATACCCAGTGTCTTTTCAGAACTGTGGAAGAGCTAAAGAACAACGAAACTCAGTGGAAAGATTCGCCTTTAGCAGTCAGACACAGAGAGATGTTAAAACGCTGCAAAACTCAGCTGAAGGTCTGTCTCTTTAATATTAACCTGTTTAAAGGTATACTCCACGCACCATTAACAATTGTAGTTAGCATGTTAGAGAAGGAGAGCAGCTCCTTGTATTTCCAGTTGTTTCGGAACCAACTATAGTTTTTTTGTTTTGTTTTTTGTTTCGTCTTGGGCCTACACTATATTCTACCCTTGTCCTCTCTTCTCGTTGCATGTCGACCTGTATTTGAGGATTTTTACAAGGCACTGCTCCCCTTCTCTTGCATACTAACTACTTACAACTGTATGGGAAATACCCTGGTTTGTTGTTTGAGCTGCCTACATTATCACACAAGCACTATAAACCTGCTAGACCTAGTTACCATTAACAGTTATGCTGCGTGCATAGCTTTTGGTGCAAGAAGCTCCCCTGTCCTTGTCTCACTTCATACTGATACTTAAAGGGACACTGTAGGCACCCAGACCACTTCTGCTGATTGAAATGGCCTGGGTGCAAACTCCCATCACCCTTAACCCTGAGCAACTGCAATAGTTACCTGCTAGGGTTAACTCCTCCTCTAGTGGCTGTCTATTAGAAGGACTTCCGGGTTTATAGACTACTACTATAGTGCCGAGTGAAATTGGCACTGGACCCAGGTTAGTGACAGAAGGGGTTATTAACCAGGGGGAGGGGGTGGGGCGACTTGACAGAGGGGGAAGCGACAGTGCCAGGAAAACAAGTTTGTTTTCCTGGCACTATAGTTTCCTGTTAAGATTGCAAGAATTTGCCAAATATCAGTGACCTAGATGGGAGCTATGTTTTACCCTGTCTGACTGGAGCACAAGCTTTGTGTGAGAGTTTACAGTAAACGCATTTGTAGAAAAGAGTAGCTTCATTCATTTTAATTTTTTTGTTTTGTTTTCCATAGTGCATTGAGATTCCCTTTAATTGGTATTGGATATTGACCTTGGTTGAAGGAGATTTTATTGAATCGGGGATCTTCATTTTGTATAGTTCATCCTTGGAATCATTCTTAATGTGTATTTACTTCTCATTTCCAGAAATTGGTCCGCTGCAAGGCCTGTGCTGATGCTGGTTTGTTGGATGAAAATTTCCTTAGAAGATGTCTCAATTTTTATGGCATGGTGATCCAACTAATTCTGCGTGTAATGGCCCCTTCTTTTCCCAAGTGAGACCACCTTCATTTTCTGATATCGATTTTCTGTGATAATTTGGAATGTTTGAAATAGTTGACCCGTGTTTAAAGCTAGAGTGACAGTGCCTGCCTTAAACAGTTTACCTTGTTCACTAGCTAGCTTCAAAGACATAATAGCCAAGTGCAACATTTTGGTGCTGGTACTATTGTTAAATTATGGGAGGTATGTTTTGTCCCACTAAACCGTGCTTTTTGGCGTTAAACGTGACCTGGTCTATGCAGCATTCTACGGACTTGGTTAGTGCTGACATTGGAAGCAACTTTTCTTCCATAGAACGTGATGATGGAGGACTGTAAAGCAGCACTTTTATCCCAATAACCCCATAGGCAGAATTGGTCTTCTTTTTCCGCACGTCTCATCAAATGGAAATAAGTGTTTTTTGTTTTATTTTTTAGGCTGTTAATTAAACCTTATAGGATTATGTTCATATATGTTTTATAAAGTTACAATGATTGACTGACTGTCTACTTTTTTTTTTTCTTTCCCTATTAGCATTACGCTGCCTTTAAACCCGGATGTTCCCAAGATGTTTGCGGTACTTCCAGAGTTTTATGTAGAAGATGTAGCTGAATTTTTGTTTTTTATCGTGCAGTAAGTATTTGGGATTCTCTAAAGTTAATCTAGGTCTAGTATGTGGTAGGACCTCCCTTTTTTTTGTCCTGAACAGGAAAGGACTTAGTCTTCGTTAGGGATGTCTGTCCAAGCTTACTTATATGGTTTGTGTTGCTTCTGCCACACATCTGCCCTTCAAACATCCAATTCCATATCCTCTCAAAGTTACTCTCTTCCATTTTGAATAGGGGCACAAAAGTAATTTTGTAATAAAACTGGACTTTAGGCATAATATGCAATCCATATTGAGGGTTAGAAGACATGATAATTTTTTGTTTGCACTCCATTGAAGATGCACAGATGTGTACTGATAATAGTGTGTACATATAGTTAGTTTGTGTATTTGTGTCCCTAGTTACCTTTTAGTGACGTGTGTCTGTTTTCATCCTAGATACGCTCCTCAGGTTCTGTTTGAGCCCTGTACACAAGATGTTGCAACATTCTTGGTGGTGATGTTGTGCAACCAGAACTATGTCCGCAATCCTTACCTTGTGGCTAAACTGGTTGAAGTTATGTTTGTAACCAACCCTGCCATCCAACATCGAACGCAGAAGTTCTTTGAAATGATCGAAGGGCATCCTTTGTCTACCAAGCTACTTGTGCCCTCTCTAATGAAGTTCTACACTGGTACGTAAGCTTAGGCGGTAGTTGGTACATTTTATTAAGTGATGACAATGTCTTATAATATTGCGTTAAAGAGGCTCAGTCACTTTTGTGCTTTTTTAATAAAGATATGTATACTTTGTGAAATATTCATGTTTGTATAAGAATTTCCCTGAATCCAAGGATACCATAAAACAAAGTAGGAACTAATTTGTCTTATGGGGAAGCATCAGGTGGAGCTCCACTGTCCCCTTTTCTCCAATCCCAGCAGCTGTGGTATCTTGCTTTTCACGAAATGTAATCTATAGCGTCTCCCATGGTCTTGTAGAATTGTCAGTGTAGACCTCTGTGTTGTACTCTCACAGCTCCTGGCTCATAAAGCAACAGAAAAAGCTGAAGAAGGTCTGCAGGAAGTAGATGGGGCAGATTCAGACATGTAAACGTACTTTTCATGGCACCTCATGGCCACCGGGCTGGAACTGGAGTTGTCACCTTTGGGGTTCTTTGCAAAATATGCAGATCTGCTATAAAGTGTCTGTTGCCCCTCCAAAAAGAACAAGTACAGCTGGGGGGTGGAGGGGGAGGGGGCAGGGGGAGCTTAGGACGCTCTTGCCAGCAGCTTTAAGCCCATTAGATATTGAAAGCAGTATTTTAGGCAGCATGTTCATTATGAGCTTGTGTTGACTCCTAGTGCTAACAAGCCGCCTACTACAGAAAGTTTTCATTCCATGGGTCAACTGGTTTTGTTTGCTTGAAACTCCTGGTCGCTTGGCTAAAGCTTTAGAGAAGCTCTTCATATTCAATAGGCTGCCATTTTTAAGGATTGTGTGTTTTCATTACTGTGTTTTTCAGCTAGTGCTTCTCATAGTAAAGGAAAAACTTTCTATTTTGGCAGATGTTGAACACACCGGCGCCACCAGTGAATTCTATGATAAGTTCACAATTCGTTACCACATTAGCACAATATTTAAAAGCCTCTGGCAGAACCCGGCACATCACGGCACATTTATGGAAGAGTTTAAGTAAGTGTTTGGATTAGTTCATTTCTTCCCATAATCCTTCCTTCCTGTTCCTCAAAATATTATCTTAAAGAGAAAAGTTATATTGATAGGCATGATGGGGATTTGTAGGTTAATATTTGTGTCCCTAGTTACCCTTAAATGCAACATCTCTTTTTACAGGGAAGTTCTGATGTTAGAACACCAAGTACATTAAATCTTTAACTTGTAGCAACTGTGATTTACATTGCACAACAAAAACAGCTCAGTGTTTGAGGAATGCACAGAGTATGGGACTCTGGGGTCAGAGTTAAAGGACCACTATAGGCACCCAGACCACTTCAACTCAATGAAGTGGTCTGGGTGCCAGGTCCAGCTAGGATTAACCCTTTTTTCTATAAACATAGCAGTTTCAGAGAAACTGCTATGTTTACTTATGGGTTAATCCAGCCTCTAGTGGCTGTCTCATTGACAGCCGCTAGAGGGCTTCCGCTCTTCTCACTGTGATTTTCACAGTGAGAAGACGCCAGCGTCCATAGGAAAGCATTGAGAATGCTTTCCTATGGATTAGCTGAATGCGTGCGCATTCAGCCGAAGAGGAGCCGGAGAGAAGGAGAGCTCCCCTCCCGGCGCTGGAGAAAGAGGTAAGTTTAACCCCTTCCTCTCCATCCAGCCCAGTGGGAGGGGGACCCTGAGGGTGGGGGCACCCTCAGGGCACTATAGTACTATAGTGCCAGGAAAACGAGTAATATTTTCCTGGCACTATAGTGGTCATTTAAGGAATGGGCTAAAGATTCAGGAGGAGAGGAAAAAAAAAAAAAAAAACTAGCTGCAAAAGACAGTTGCTCAGTGCTTGCCACAAGAATTCTTGAAGATTGTACAGCAGCTGGATAGCTACAATTCTTTTGCACATGTTATGCAGTGTGGTGCTTGGCGTGCGGGTGCTCTTTAACCGACACGTTTAGTTTTTTAGATGTTTTGCTATAATTTTGCATTCATAAACTGCTCATATCTTGTACTGCTCTGCAAATGTGACACACCAGTATAAAAGTAACCGAACAGCCTAAAAATGTTAACCATCTCTCTTACATATGTCTTTTTGTGCATGCATCAAATATATCCTTCCTTTCACCAGTAATCTGTGTCACAACTTGTTGAATCGAGATTATTTTCTCGGATATAGGTTGAGTTTTTTTTTTTGTTTTTTTTTTTTTTTTTAGCTCTGGAAAGCAGTTTGTCCGATACATTAATATGCTGATAAATGACACCACTTTCCTGCTGGACGAAAGTTTGGAGTCCCTGAAACGTATCCATGAGATGCAGGAGGAGATGAGAAACAAAGAACACTGGGATGCACTGCCTCGAGTAAGATACCGAGCAATGCAGTGTGATGCTGTTATCAGTTATGTGGATATTGGCCATTTTTAATGTGTAGTTTGCACTGGGTATAAATATATATATCGTCTTGTTAGAGCAATGGTAACATTAGCCTTAGAACCGAATCCTCACCAGTAAATGTCCTTGGGCAAGACACGTAAACTATTTATATCCACCTACCTCAAATCTTTATAGATTGTAAGCTCACCTGAGCAGAACAGAATATGTTGACACTCCTTAAATACTACTAATTATAAATGTCATCTATTTATTTTTATTTTTTTTTCCAAATTTCTTTTTATGGCAAAGTTTTTGTTTACAGAATACAAAAAAAACCCATAAAACAATAGACATTTTTGCATACATATGTTTGACATGGTGCAAAACTGCATAAATCAAATCTTTTCTACTGGTTTATCTCGTCATATATAATATGTAGTCTAGGCATTGTGCTAGTGAAATTGCTAGCACTTGGATGGATTAGATCAGAGTTCAAATCTCTGCAGCTGGCTGCTATTTCACAATGCTCAGTGATGCTGTGTTCCACTTACTGCAGTTACCATACTGGAAACGTATTCTTTATGTTGACAACATAACACACTAAGTTACAATTTTAGTTAAAATTCCACAATACATTTACTTTGAGAATCAATTGTCAAATACATTGAGGGTTATTTACTAAAACAACTTTTTTTATCTACAACTATTTAAATGTAATTTGTAGGGGGTCTGAGCTTAACATCCAAGCGGAGTAGACATGCCAAGTACAAGGTCTTGACCGCAATCGTGTATTTGGAGTGGGGGGGACCAACAATTTAATACCCAACTTAAGCAGATCGCCAACCAGGAACCCGCCACAAACTACTAAGGCCTACCGAGGCTCGGGTCGAGGGGAGGCGGTAGCTCTCCTGACTCAGGAACTCACTCACGTTATATCTTAGAATGTCACATTCTGTTTGGAGCCATTAGTACCAACCTTCCCCTTTAGAGTGTCTATTCCCTCCCATTCCATACCGTCTGTTGGAAACCAACAAAGGTGAATTTTTTTTTGTTGTTAAAATGTATTCTTTATTTTAAGACTATGCATTCAAAAGTTTTCTAACCTTACTTCACTGATGTTGGTTGGTTAAAGTTGGGACTTGGTTCTGGTCATTCTAATCCACTCTGAACACTGTTTGATTGCTCTTCTAGGATCAACAACAAGCAAAACAGTCCCAACTGGCACAGGATGAACGTGTTTCCAGGTCATACCTTGCTTTAGCTACCGAGACCGTAGAAATGTTCCATATTCTTACGAAGCAAGTACAGAAGCCATTCCTGCGACCTGTAAGTACAGGATTACTCTGTGCTTCTGCTCAGGCTTCTTTGTCTCTGCCATTCCTCTGACTAGGATTGTTGTTGTACTACCTTGCTTGTGCAGGAGTTGGGCCCTCGGCTTGCAGCCATGCTAAACTTCAACTTACAGCAGCTTTGTGGACCGAAGTGCCGAGACCTGAAGGTAGAGAACCCAGAAAAATATGGATTTGAACCAAAGAAGCTTTTGGACCAGCTTACGGATATTTACCTCCATTTAGACTGTGCCCGGTTTGCGAAAGCCATTGCTGATGATCAGGTTTGGTTCTGTTCGCCTGAATCTTTTTATTTATTTATTTTATTTTATTATAAACTTTACCTTGTCTGTCCTTTTGTCTTGAATTGTGCAAATCAAATGTACTCTAGGTGTAAGATGCATCAATTAATCATTGAGATTTATTTTATTTGCATGATGCAAACTTGTACCCTGTCTCTCTTGACCACAAGTGATTAGACAAAGCAAAGATTCCCATATGTCTCTGGTGTGTATATTTTCAGCTGTCTCTGAAATCTTTATAGACTATTTCTTTAAAAACAAATATAAAAAACAAAAATTGCACAGATGTACTAGGTTACTTCCGGACAGACTTGCCATCCACTACATCTTTCAAGAGAAGGCATAAAACATGCTCCAAATGATCTAATTGTGTTGCAGAGGTCCTACAGTAAAGAACTTTTTGAAGAAGTCATTTCCAAAATGAAGAAAGCTGGAATCAAGTCAACTATTGCTGTGGAGAAGTTCAAGCTTTTGTCCGAAAAAGTGGAAGAGATAGTGGCCCGAAATGTACGGGCCGAGATAGATTACAGCGACGCCCCGGATGAATTTAGAGGTATTGTTTTAAAATATATGTTGAGTACGTTGTACAGGCTATTAAAGTGCTGCATGATTCCACATAGACCTTTTCAAATGACATTACCATCAACTTTTCTGCTATACTAAATGCATTCAGACGTATATTGAACTCGACTTATCACTGCATCTGCTCATTTTGCTGGATGCTGGCTAACTTCAAGGAAGTCTCCAAGCACCATAATCACTGTAGAAGGTTTTAGTGGTGGTTATGTCAGGAGTGCCCTGGTGCCTTCCCAGTGGAAGTAGCCAAACTTCTAAAGAACGATTTGATAACGAATTTACTCTTTTTATACTTTATGCACAAATAAAATATTTCACAGAACTCTGTACCGAGAGCCCTTCTGCTTAGCCACACCCCCTGGTTTCAGAAATATTCTTATTGGTGTATGAACATACCTCAGCCCATTACAGCCTTGCGTTTTCTGCTTATAATGTACAACCTGGCTGCAAACAGGTAGCGATATCTTTGCTCTATTTCTCCTTGTAATGCAGGTTTCTTTGTAGTTCAGCTCATTCAATGTGCTGTCAGCGACTGAGCTGTGTATATACATTTTATAAGTATTTTTCTGGCGTGAGAGGATGTGGCTATGTAGGCAAGTTTATGAAAATTTGTTATATTTGTGCAGAAACCTTAAAGGCACCCAGACCACTTCAGCTTAATGAAGTGGTCTGGGTGCCAGGTCCAGCTAGGTTGAACCCTTTTTTTTTTTTTTTTTTATAAACATAGCAGTTTCAGAGAAACTGCTATGTTTATAAATGGGTTAATCCAGCCTCTAGTGGCTGTCTCATTGACAGCCGCTAGAGGCGCTTGCATGCTTCTCACTGTGAAAATCACAGTGAGAAGACGCCACCGTCTATAGGAAAGCATTGAGAATGCTTTCCTATGAGACTGGGTGAATGCGCGCGGCTCTTGCCACACATGCACGTTCAGCCGAGGAGGAGCGCTCCCCGCCCGGCGCTGGAGAAAGAGGTAAGTTTAACCCCTTCCATCCCCTAGAGCCCAACGGGAGGGGGACCCTGAGGGTGGGGGCACCCTCAGGGCACTATAGTGCCAGGAAAACGAGTGTTTTCCTGGCACTATAGTGGTCCTTTAAAGATTTGAGAATGCAAAAAATACAGCATATCAATTAGACCCAAACCTGTTAAATACGTAGATGCCTAAAGTATCCCTTTAACCGTTTGACATCTTACATTAAGAGGTAATTAGGGCAATCCTAGCACCATATCCACTACAGTAGCATTTAATGGTTATGGTGCTTGAAGTGTTCCGTTAGGTTTAATCTATTTTGTAGAATTAGGCGCGTCATGGGAGGTGTAGTCCAAAACATCTGGAGTGCCGAAGGTTGCCTATGCCTGAATTGGGGCATAGAAGAATACTATATTAATAGCAGATAGCGGATAGTATGAAGGGTTATGGCAAGTGAGGGATGATATTGTTAGCATATGTTAACACACTGTTTATATTGTAAACTTTTTTTGGTGTGGTTAAAGCTACACTTGCCTTTTGAGGTCTTGATAGATTTTAGAAGACAAACTACGAATCCTGTGTCCTTTGTTATTTGTGGGATATTTTGATAAATTAAGTGTTCTTGATTCCTGAAATGGAAATGCAATAAGAACCTTAGAGGGACACTCGTTGAATTAGTTATGGTCCCTGGTGTCCCACGGTACTATCCCACCAATCAGTGTTAAAACATTTTAGAGCAGTTTAACACTAATGATCCCTGGACACTCACGACCAGTCTCCTTCTGGAGGTGTGGCTAAGACATATATTACACACTCCTTACTAGCCATACGAATTCATAACAGCAATGGTGCTGTGATAGTCTGAAATGGGTCAGCTGAGACTCTAGCCAATCACAGCTTCCCATTGATGCTCAGGCTAATAATTCCTCATTAGCCAAAGCAGCATAGAAAAGATTGTTTCACATAAATATATTAAAAACTATTCAATGCTGAATGAAATGATGGCTCCTGCGAACTCCAGATACTATAACCAACTTAATGAGATGGAGCAGAAACTGTGCCTACAGTGTCCCATTAAAGCGTAATTACCCATTTTATGCATTGCCTGTGTTTGTGGGCTTGCTGTGAAAGAGCAGAGAAGCCATGAATCCTTTTAACATTTCTTTCTATCCTTCTCCGCTTGCTGGGCCTTTTGGGCAAATGGCAGGAATATTTGCTTCATTAGACAACTTTACCTCTGTATTTTGTGTTATTATTGGCTCTCTCCTGTATAATTTTTTATTATATACGTTTATCTAAAAAAGCTTAAATACGCTCCTGAAGAAGTTTCACTTTTCATGTTTCTTAATCTTGGGTTTTTCCTCTGTCAGACCCCCTTATGGACACACTTATGTCTGAACCAGTGAGACTTCCATCTGGAACCATCATGGATCGATCCATCATTCTGAGACACCTTCTAAATTCTTCCACTGACCCTTTCAACCGTCAGACGCTGACGGAGAGCATGCTTGAACCAGGTAAGAGATCTGCCGAAAAGCTGCACTTTCAGAGAATCTTGTTGGTGAACTGACTACACACACTTAACTTTTATCGAGACATTTCTTTCTCTGAAGTCTCTGTATCATCTAGCCAGTCTTGTCATGTCTTTAATTTGTTGCTGCAGCGCCACCTAGTGTAATCTGAGCAGACCATGCGTTGTTGTCCTTGCTATAAATCACAGGCCTTGATATGTCCTCTAGATTAAAGTGACATTGGGGGGGAATCTCATGCACTCACCTGTGGTCGCTAATCTTAGTTTAAAGAAATTCAGACATTTGTTTTAAGAATGGAATTCTGAGTGTGATGTAAGAAAAGTAAAATGATTGATTAGTAGAGCCTCTTAACTCTTTCATTACCAAGATATGGACACTAGAAACATAGAAACATAGAATGTGACGGCAGATGAGAACCATTTGGCCCATCTAGTCTGCCCAATTTTCTAAATACTTTCATTAGTCCCTAGTCTTGTCTTATAGTTAGGATAGCCTTATGCTTATCCCACGCATGCTTAAACTCCTTTACTGTGTTAACCTCTACCACTTTAGCTGGAAGGCTATTCCATGCATCCACTACCCTCTCAGTAAAGTAATATTTCCTGATATTATTTTTAAACCTTTGTCCCTCTAATTTAAGACTATGTCCTCTTGTTGTGGTAGTTTTTCTTCTTTTAAATATAGTCTCCTCCTTTACTGTGTTGATTCCCTTTATATATTTAAATGTTTCTATCATATCCCCCCTGTCTCGTCTTTCCTCCAAGCTATACATGTTAAGATCCTTTAACCTTTCCTGGTAAGTTGTATCCCGCAATCCATGAACCAGTTTAGTAGCCCTTCTCTGAACCCTCTCTAAGGTATCAATATCCTTCTGAAGATACGGTCTCCAGTACTGTGTACAATACTCCAAGTGAGGTCTCACCAGTGTTCTGTACAATGGCATGAGCACTTCCCTCTTTCTACTGCTAATACCTCTCCCTATACAACCAAGCATTCTGCTAGCATTTCCTGCTGCTCTATTACATTGTCTGCCTACCTTTAAGTCATCAGAAATAATCACCCCTAAATCCCTTTCCTCATATGTTGAGGTTAGGACTCTATCAAATATTCTGTACTCTGCCCTTGGGTTTTTACGTCCAAGATGCATTATCTTGCACTTATCCACATTAAATGTCAGTTGCCACAATTCTGACCATTTTTCTAGTTTACCTAAATCATTTGTCATTTGGCTTATCCCTCCTGGAACATCAACCCTGTTACATATCTTAGTATCATCAGCAAAAAGACATACCTTACCATCAAGACCTTCTGCAATATCACTAATAAAAATATTAAAGAGAATGGGTCCAATCAATTTATTAAATGATTGGGGTATGGCTGTGTACATCTGATGCTCAAATGTACAAGTTATTGGTAAGGAATAATCCGATATCTGCTTGCTTTTGCTTTCAGTTCCATTGGTTTCCATGTATTTTCCATGGGCAGAGTTTTCACAAACTCGATGAGCTACCACAAACTCTATAATATACTGACCAACCAAAAACGTGCACAGCAAATACCACCTCAGTGTGTCATACATTGCCCCAGCACTACACACACACACACACACACACACACACACACACACTACAACTATACCAAAAAACAAAACTATATATATATGTATGTATGTATGTATGTAAAAAAAACAGATAAATTTGTATCTTGTAATACCTTTTTTATTGGACTACCAGAATTTTTTAATGACAAGCTTTCGGGAGAACCTCCCTTTCTCAAGTCTGAAGCATTTCTGAGCAAGACGACACACAGACTTCAAAGTTTAGTTGTGAGTTCCATGTGTCGTCTTGATCAGAAATGCTTCAGACTTGAGAAAGGGAGGTTCTCCCGAAAGCTTGTCATTAAAAAATTCTGTTAGTCCAATAAAAAAGGTATTACAAGATACGAATTTTATCTGTTTTTTTACATCTACATCACTGGACTAATACGGCTACAATCTCTACTTGAACGAGAGAGATTGATTTTCCTTGTAAGCTATGTTTTAATTTTAATACTTACAAAGCTTATAATTAACATATAAAGGCAATCAATACTTAGGGCATTCTGGAAAAGGCCCGCTAATCAACTGATACATAGCACCATGACACCCAACCTTTAAAGGGAAACTCCAGTGCCTGGAAAACAATCCGTTTTCCTGGCACTGCAGGTCCCCTCTCCCTCCCACCTCCCAATCCCCGGTTGCTGAGGGGGTGAAAACCCCTTTAGTCACTTACCAGAGGCAGCGACATGTCCCACATAGCTGCTTCTTCCGCCGCCGCCGCTCCTCCTCTGCATTACGTCGGCCGGTGGGCATGCGCATTAGAGCTCCCCATAGGAAAGTATTGAAAATGCTTTTCAATGCTTTCCTATGGGGGAATTGAGCGGCACTGGAGGTCCTCACACATCGTGAGGATGTCCAGCGACGCTCTAGCACAGGTTTTCTGTGCTATTAAGCAGGAAGTGCCCTCTAGTGGCTGTCTAGTAGACCTGCAAGGTAAATATTATTTATAAAAAAACTGCAATAATTACAGTTGCAGGGTTAAGGGTAGTGGGAGTTGGCACCCAGACCACTCCAATGAGCAGAAGTAGTCTGGGTGCCTGGAGTGTCCCTTTAATGTTTGATTATGTTTTTATTGTTAAAGTAGATTTAATAGAATATTTCAGGTTAGTTTTACCATGAAGAATATTGTTGCAGGGAGGTATAGGAATGTACAATAACCATTAATGTTTTTACTTGGTACCTCTGTCTGATAATAAATATCTGCCTGTGCTTATTCTCAGTGCCAGAACTCAAGGAAAGAATCCAGGCTTGGATGCAGAACAAGCATAACGCAGATCCATGAATCGTGTTCCTCCGCATCCAAGACTTCCCATGAAACATATGGAGCCTTGTACATATATTTAAATTCACACAAATTAAAACGCTCACCTAATACGTGAGGGGGGGGGACGGGTGGGTATATTTTCTTAACACTGGGCCAGCGTACTGTACAGAAAACAGAGGCGCACTTTCCATTCATATGAAGCAGGTAGAACAGAAACATCAAGTTTTGATCACGAGCCAAACCGCATTAGCATGTCATTTACCTGTTTCTTTGGGTTTTTATTTTCTTCTTGCTGCTACAAGGTTTTGTTTTTTGTTTTTATTTTGTGTTATTTGGGGAGGAGGGGGGATTAGTGATTTTTATATATATTCAAATATATATTCATTCTCCTCCTTGAGGTTTCCTCACCCATTCTAAAGTATCATCTATAAAACACAATGTTAAATTGAAATCCGTGTCCACACATCCAGGAGACTAGCAGTGGATTCTGGGCATTCTACTAAATGTGATAAATGGAGCATAATTTTTATAGTGTAATCAATGGTATATTTAAAAAAAAAACAAAAAAAATTCATAAAATAGTATACATTATTATTTTTACAGTTTTGTTTCTTTTTAAATGCAGAATATTTTTTTTGTTTTTGGTGCACCGTACTGGACGTGGTAGTATACTGCTGAGTGTGGTTTGGAAAGTGATCAGACTTGCCAAGTTATTGTCGTTCTCTGCTACTTACCCCATACCTTACTTGGACAGTCTACCCTTTTCCATCCATTAATATTTCGCCTTACCAAAGCGAACCATGCCAGAGGGCTGGCATGTGCAAGATCTTATTTTCTTTTTCTTTGTTTTTTGTTGCTTTTTCTTGCTTTGTTTTTTATGGAACATTTTTGTATTCTACCCTCCATTGCATACTTGAATTCCTGTACTATCCTTGTGGAAAGGCAGGTAAAGTTTTAAAAAGAAATGTAAAAAAAAAAAATGTAAAAAATTAAAATAGGAAAAAAAGTCTGCCCAACCACATATCACCCTTCCGATATTTTCCTTGGCGAATTACCCATCCCTTCTTCCCTTTCAGTTCCAAACTCTGGAAATGAAATATATGGTGACAACATTAACATTGCAGCATTTATTTTTGGCCTCATGTATGAGATTGCATTTAAAGGAATCTCTAGTAATGAGCCACAATTCCTGTAACCGCATTTTTTTTTGTTTTTTTTTGTTTTTTGTAAATGAAAAAATGAATAAAACTAAAGATTTTGATTTTCCATTATTTTCTGGGAATCTGTTTGCCTTTATTTTGAGAAATGCTACATACACATTATTTGCTTATTTTTTCAACTTGGGCACAAAAGATTGTGTTACAGGCAAATATGTCGTCAGTCAGAATGGCACTTCCTCACTGTTGTCCACAAAATGAATGATCTGTATACCTTCAGGTACATTTAGGTAGATTTCATCTGTATTTAATGCTCATTAAATTGCCAACAAGTGTATAGATTAAAAGATATACCTTCTAGGAGGTCATGTCCTTATCCTGCAATGCAACATCGCGAGAGGGAGGACTGCACAGCTGCTGCTACTAGAGGATTATTCGGTTTGGTTGAACAACTTTTCCAAATGAAAACATTTTTGGCATGTCCAATGCTTGTCCATATGACCGTTCAGCTTGGCCAAATATCTTCTATTAAAACTTATTCTGGGAAATATTAGGTCATGACAAAAAAAGCGGAGGAAAATGACAAAATGGCTACAATATTTCTTAACCTGATGGCTTCACAATATCAGCAATTTTTTATGTGCTAATTCTGAGTTGTATGTTAACATAATTATAAATTTTTTCTATTAAAAGAAAATTAAGTAAGATAACTAAGATTTATAATTGATTGTCTTTCCTTTTGCTATCTTGAATTAAAGGGAAACTATAGTGCGAAATGTAACGAACGCTGGTATTGCAGATACCCGTTTGTCTGTTTCCTCACGAACTGCTAGAGGCTGAGTTATTATAGTTTTATCTACCAAACGAGGAAAATCAAAGGTAATGAAATAAAAGGTGTAGTTTCTTCACACTAAGAATACAAAGTTACAATCAAAGAAAGTGCCTCTAGTTGCTGTCTGTTAGAGGTGAAATTTAACTTTAATTATATAATTAAAATACTCCTCCCACCACCCCGCTGTTGTTTTTTTTTTTTTTTTTTTTAATTATATGCCTTTTACTGTAGTGGTTTCACCCTGCCTCGATGACTTGTTCTGTGCCTGCTACCTCTGCATATGCAGTTGGTTAAAGCTGATGAGAGGGCACTGTTTGTGGGGTTTTTTGGGTTTTTTTTTTGCTTCCTCCTCTCCCCCCAGTATGAATATGACCCTAGTAGCAGATGGTGTTATGGTGTCCATTTGATGAGACGATTCAAAAGTCGATAGAATAATGTAGAAGACATGGCAGGAGAAAAGTGCACACTAGATGGTGAAAATGCTAGTGTGATGCATGCCTGTCCTTTGCAGACTCTCCTCTTTTAATTTCTCTGGCTCATCGAGTACCTATAGTACCAGAGAGAGAGTATGTCTGCAGGGCTGGTGGAAAGAGCTATTTTATTACCACCACCAAGACCAGTTGTTAAGGGATTTTACTTCAATACTCTGCTGTGCCTCTAAAGATTGTCTTATTGAACCAGGAATTTACTCTTCTCATCTTTCCTATTAGTTGCCTCTTGTAGGTTCTAGAAGGACTAGTCCTAGTTTTTAGCTGTCCAGCAGCTACTGTTAAAGGTACTCTGTGTCTGGGGAAGCCCTGCTTATTAGCTCTGCGCTTTGCTGACGCTGCTGCTGCAATTAAAGATTCTTTTGCTTCTTTTGAGTACCCCATTGCAACATAAAAAGGCTGAGGAGAGACTCCATTTGACTCCTAGGTCGTGACTTTGGTATAATGGACAGGCTTCTCCTGCTATCCTGGACTTGAATACTGCATGTAGTAGTGTTACTGCTGGCAGCACCTGTACTCAGGGCAGAGAGGAAGAGGTATTTAGACACTCAGAGGTCATGGCACTGCTGATGGTGAATTTGGGAACACAACCTTTACTCTCCCTCTGTTTTTCATTGTGTGGAGGGGGCGGGGATATTAATGACCTCATATCCCTGCTCCCTGTGTACCACACAGCGCGGCTGGTGCCCTGTGCTGAGACTGAGCTGCAAGACAGGACTCCACAGAGCCGGTCACCTGTCAGCATGCACCTCAAGGACCTGTATGTACAGTAGGTATGTAATTGTGACTGTGTGTATGTATGTATGTCTCTGTATGTATGTGTCTGCATGCCTTTGTCTTTGTACGTATGTTTCTGTATGCCTGTAGGCACAAAAGGCGCTGAGGTTTCAGCACAGTAAGGCTCGTAAACGCAGACTGTTTCCATGCTAGAACTCTAAGATGAACACCACTACTGACCCAAAGCAAAAGAAATGTTGGTTCCAATATGCTCAAAATCCTAAGTAAGCCACAGAAGATTTGTGATTCTGTTCTATGAAGCAATGAAACAAAATGGGAACCTTTCGGTCCAATGTATTAGCGGTATGGAGGAAGAACAATGAAGGCTATGCTGAAAAGAACACTCTGCCTACAGTTAAGCATGGTGGTGGCTCGGTGATGCTGTGGAGCTGCTTTGCATACTCTGGCACTGGAAACCTGCAATGTGGAAGGCAAAATAGATTCATTGAAGTATCAGGAAATCCTAGAAGAAGACGTCATGCTGTCTGTGAGGAAGCTGAAGCTTGGGTGTCTTCGGACCTTTCAACAAGACAATGAACCAAAGCATACCTCAAATTCCACCAAGGCTTAGTTGCAGAAGAAGCCCTGGAAAAATCTATAGTGGCCATTGCAAAATCTCTGGTGGTATTTGAAGTAGTCTGTTGCAACACCCAAGTCCAAGAATATTACTGGACTGGAGGCCATTGCTCATGAGCAATTGGCTAAGATCTATCAGGAACGCTGCCAGAAGCTGGTATCTGGCTATGCATCTCGTTTGCAGCAGGTCATAACAGCAAAAAGTGCTCTACTAAGTACTAAATATGCTTGCCATGAAGGGGTTGAATAATTTTGAGACTGGAGAAGTCATTATAAGTTGAATTTGGGGAAACCACTTGAATTCCTTATGTGGAGCTATTTCAATAGCTTTTGTTTGATTTGCAAAACAAATATCAGTGGTATAGCTAATAGTGACAGTAATGCTCAAAACACCCGTGTGGTATTCCCTATACCGACACAAAAAGATATACAGTACAGACACAATGGATGGAGCAAATATTTGTTTGATTTGTTCATTGCAAACAGCTGTAGGACCAATGACCCAGGCTACCTCCCTATTAAAGCTCTAAGTAAAACTGTCAGTGGCTTGGTAAGTACAGTAGTAACCTAAACCTAACCAATCTCCAGCAAGGGTAAAAGCAAGTAATCCTTGATTGCTGGTCTGTGTCTCCCTCAACTGTCATCCCATCCATAAATCATCTTTTTATTTTTTACTTTTCTTTCCACCACCTATATGGGCAAGAGATGCAGCCCCATATCATTGGGAAGACCTCTCGACCTTCATATCAAACGAAGATTAGCTCTTGTAGTCTCATTTTGCAAGTCACATTTTAATTGACTGCAGTTTGGAGTTTAGTTAATAAACTTGACTGAATTTATTCTGAATTAAAGGGAATTCACTCCTCTGAATGTTCTGGGCACAAAAATGAAATGAGAAAGAAGATGAAACTGGATTAATGCCTTATACAAATGCAAATCCTTTACCGTGAAAACTAATTAACTCTCCCTGTCCAACAGAGGGACTGTAATCCCTGTTAATTGTCCCTGCTTGTAATATAGATAATCTACCCTTTGTAATAAAGAATGCACAAGGTGTTTCCAAGCATGAAGAATGATGCAGTATAGCTTCTCAATTAGTTTCTGATCAATATATTTCTGGTAGAGACGTACTGGATACCGCACTCACCTGAGGACGCTCGGAAGCCAGGGCTGGTTAGGCTTCCCTTCCAAGATAAGCATAATAAATTCCGGGATAAACAAAAATAGCCGCTTTACTGGGGGCAAATACAGCAACGTTCTGCATGATGGGTTTGATAAAGATCCGGTAGGGTTGAAACGTTGCCGCTCTTTGCCCCAATAAAGCTGCTATTTCTGTTTTCCCAAAGTGTGTGAACCGTTATTTATTCTTCTATATACGTCTGGTGTGTTAGAAGGGAGTGCTTTCTGCCCATTTTGTATTCGTTATTTTTTATTTTTTCTTCCAAGACAAGACATCACAAGCAGTACATATACAGCAACATAGGATTATGCATAAACAAGCATGTACACTGTGATCATGGCATTTTTACATTAGCAAGATGGGTGAACAGTCAAGGTCGCATAGATCCCATAACTAGAGAGCACGAGTTGTATTTACGTCTCTAATTTTGAAGGTAGTTCTCATCTCTATGTATGGTTAGATATCCCGTCTGGTTTTAAATAGTAGATAAAACATGTAACAGATAACATATGATATGACGACCGCACACGTTTGCAAAAAAAACCCAAAAAAAAAACCCGACTAGGAATAGTATACGAGCGTACGTTTGCTCCCATGTCTCTATTGTCTTGCACGTGTATTTCCACTATGTACGGTCGGACGATAAGATATTAAGGAATTAAGAGATGAAAGAAAAGGAAATAATAGAGGAAGTGCCTCGAAAATCCGAGGTCACAGACGAGGGGGAGGGGAGTCCGAGGATAGCCGCCCAATAGGCATCTTAGGGAATGTGCTTCCCTTCCAACCCTGTCCCCCACGGGGGTCCGCAAAAATCCCTCCCTGCTAGCCGGGTCCAAGTAATATGGTTTACTTCCTTTCTCAGATGTCCTGAGAGGTATGTTTTTATGTTCTAATTCAGTCTGCCTTTCTCTAATCGCTTACAGTGCTATTTGTCCAGGGGCTCCAGATCTTATCAAATTTCTTCATTGTCCCCCTGACCTGTGCTGTCAGCTTGTCCATTAGGAAAGTATCTTTTATTTTTGTTTTACCATCGCCATTGTTGGGGTCTCCCTCTGTAGCCACACCTGTGCTAGGGCTCTTCGAGCTGCTAGGTTTATTTTTTGTATAAGGTTTTGTTCCATTCTTGTCCAACCATCCATGGATCTAGACAACAGAAACACCCATTGGTCTAGTTTCACCTCCCTGTCAAAAACCTCTTGCTGCAATGCAGCAATCTGTTTCCAATAGGTTTGTGCCTCCAGGCATTCCCACCACATGTGTATATACGTACCCTTGCATCCACAGCCTCTCCAACACAGGTCCGTCGGGTTTTTACGCGTTCGGTACAGCGTCACTGGAGTGGTGTACCACCGAAATAAGGTCTTATAGATTTGTTCCTGCCAGGAGATGCACACTGAAGATGATGCAGCAGCCTCCCATATTTCCTGCCATTTTATGCCCTCCAGAACCTCATTGAGATCTGTTTCCCACTGATCTATATATGTGATATCTCCCCATTCTAGCGTGTGAGTGCTCAAATGAGAATATAAACCTGAAAATAAGCCGCTTGGGAATTGTTCCCTCTTGCACATCCTTTTGAAAAACGTTAACTGTGTCAACGCAGCCGTTTTGATCTGGGAGTCTCGGGCATGATCCCTAAGCTGTAGATACTGGAAGCAGTCGAAGGGTCGTAATGGGGCCCTGCTTGTCAATTGTTCAAATGTTATAAATGAGCCGTTTTCAAACAGTTCGCACAGTCTCTGCAGTCCCGTGTTCTCAATACCCTTGAAATCCCGTGGACTCATGTCCGGAAGAAATGCTTTGTTTCTTAAGAATGGGGTCATGGGCGACGGGTCGGAGGTCAGGCCGTATTTAAGGGCAGTGGCATCCCAAATTTTAAGGGAGTTGCTTATCGCTGGGCATATCACTTGATCTATTGGTCTATGTTCTTTAGGGGTCCACATGAGGAACTGGGGCATGTCTGGGCCCATCAGGGAGGATTCCAGATCCACCCACCTCCTATCTTCTGGGGGAGAATGCCATAGTGCAATTTGGGCCAATTGAGCCGCCACGTAGTAAAAGTAAAGGTTTGGAAGGCCAAGGCGCACCCTATCCTTAGCCCTATAAAGTAC